TTCAATTAGGAAATCTGAGAAAACTGCAGGCTGGAGAAGCTGAGCCTGTTACTCCATACACTTCATGTCCCTGCTGTCTCCACTGCTCCAAGCTCCCTGCTGGCTGGAAAACTCCCAGCTGAGTGTGGAGTGGCAAACACTCCCTGAACATGCACACTGTAATTGAACTTCTCTGGCAACCAGCTCAGTTGGGTGAAAAGGCTGAGGGGCAGGGTGTGATCCTGGCAGCAGGGGAGACATCTGAAAATGCTCCACAAGCGTTCTCCATGTAGAGAATGAAGAAGTGGGAATTGTTGGTTCCCAGCAGCGAACATTTGTGGAACAGGCTCTCAGATAGGGAAAGACAGGAGCAAAAATCTAGTTATGTCCATTGTTTCCCAGTAAAATACCTGGAGCCTCCCATCACAGCTCCCTGCCTGCCTGTGCTTTCTGTGCTTTCTCCTGGTTTGCAGACATGAGGAGTCAGAGAGCAGCCAGGCAGCCTGGCTCTCTGAGGCAGAGGACTATGAGAACTCTCACCTGGGCAGCTACCGGCGCATTTACCCAGCGTGTGGAACTGACAAGTATGAGCCATTTTTCAAGCAGAGCAGCTCCCTCTTCAAGGAGACTGCATCATCCAAAGCACGAGAGGAGTGTACCAGGTACATTCAGACACTGCTTCCTTGTGACCCTTTCCTGGGAGTAAGTCTGTTGTTTAAGGGAAGTAAGGAAGTTGTGGAGAACTGGATACAAGAGAGTCTGCTTGTACTATGTTGCCATGGCAAAGCAACTTCTGTAGCACGTAACTTTGAGAGGCAAAAGCAGTATTCCATTGACTTTTAGAATCTGGAGGCACATGTTGAAACGTCCTCCACTTTTCTCCCCCTTCTGGCAGACACAGACTAATTCATGGGCATTTCTTACAGCAGTGAGAGGCTCTCTTAAAAGCACTCCTCCCTCATTTCTTGGCATGCTTCCTTTATGGTCTATTCACTACAGTACTTGACTGCAGTAAAATGTTCTCAGACTGAAGTCTTTGCAGTGTTTTGCTATTATGCCTCTTATGGAACCAGTGACCAAGACAACTCTTCTGTGGCAGGCAACAACTGGAAGAAATTCGCATGAAGAAAGAAAAGTTAGAAGCTGTTAACAGCAAGAAGAAAAAAGAGAGGAAGGAAGGGCTGCAGGGAGAGTCAGCCACAGACAAATCCACGATCCATAACAAAACCTCAGCTTCTGCAACCCACTTCACCTACAGAAGCACAAAGATGTGGGATAAAAAGGTACCTTGTTTTCGTCCGTGCTCATCCATGGAGTATAAAAGGCAATCCATGGCTCTAGGAACAGTACTGGGCCATCTCCTAAGGAGATGAAGCCCCTCTGTGAAGTCCTGGGGGGGCTGATAGCTTGTGCCAGGAGGCACCTGTAAGCACCAGTGCTGCCCTTTGCTGCTGTGCCAACCATAGGGATTTTCATCCTATTCCACCCTGAGGTCTGTAATTCTCTGTAGGGTTCAGAGCAGTTTGTAGTTTTGTATTTCTTGCCTATTTCTGTAGTTTCAACTTTGCTGTAACTCGGGTGTTTCTTTCCTAAGATAGAGCATGTGCAGTATGACTCCATGCAGCCTCAGGATATTCTGGAAAATGAAGAGAAGAAAAGAGTGAATGCTCTTGCAAGGCGTAAGAACCTTATCCAAGGCCTGGGCATTGCAGATCAGCTCTCCCAAGTGCTTCCCACAACTGAGAGATCATCTGACAACCACAGACCCTGCACTGTTACCTCCAAGATCCAGGTAACTGAAGATTGCCCAGATCATTCTACGAGGCCATCACAAGAGACCATCATTTGTGGGAGGATGTGGCTCATTTAAAAGAGATCCAACGTGCCGTCTGGGTCCTTGGGTCTTTTTCTCTTTCTAAAAGGGTACGCTGGGGGCATGCCAATCACTCACATAGAACCCCTGGGCACCTTTCCTCAGAAGGTCCCTCTCATTCCTATTCCAAAAGACAGTCTGATAATACTGCCTTTCACTGTCCCCCACATGCAGCATAGCATGGCCTGCTTCTTCAGGGCCATAACGTGATTCTCCTGTCTAAATCAGATTAATTCCTGAGTAGGAGTTCTCATGAGCTATGAGCACTGAAGTGCTAGGAGCATGGTAAAGTAGCACAAACAGCAAACAAGGTCTGAATGGCAGTTTGGAAATACCTAAAAATATCTCTCAGTGAATTCTGCACTGCAAGCAATGCCTCTTCCTAACCCCCCCGCCTTCTATGTTACACAGCCCCCACCCATGAAAGGTGAAGAGCCCACTATGCATTTCCTGACAGCGCATGTGCTGGAAACACATCAGAGCTCAGTCCTTGGTGTGGGGCTTCCCCTTGACAGTCTTGTTCACTCTGCAAGAGCTTGCTGTAGTATAAGCCCTTGGCTTTGCCACTGTCATGTCCTGGGTTATTTCAAGGTGCACAGCTGAAGAAACCTGGGCTGTGCAGGGTTTTATGCCCAGGGAAAATTTGGAACTGGATTTGCTTGCCTACAGTTCCCAAACCTGGCCACAGGTGCCAGTGTTCTAAAATCAGATGAGGAGAAAGCCAGCAATCTGTCACCACTGGACTCCAGTGGGCTGTAAGGGCTGTAACAGAACTGATGGTGGCTGGCATCTGATAGGTGGAGAAAGTGCTAATTCTTGACTGGCAATTGGTGAAAAGCCTTGCAAGGTCCTCTCCCAATGGCACCATCTGCTTCCATAAAGGCCTTCCACTCCTGCTTGGAAGGGCAGCACACCTTGCAAGGATGCTGACAAACTCCAGATACCAGAGTTGCAGGAATTATATGGGATGCAGGAGTATTCTAGTACCTTACAGCAAATTGGAAATGGTCCCTTTAATTTAACAAAACAAGCGTAAGATGTGATTTGATCTGTAAGAACTGATGGTAGCTGCCTTTTATGCTCCCAAACAAAGCAAAGCAGAACTTGAAACCACAAGTTCCACCCAACCTCTGGGCAGATCTTTTCAGAAGCAAAGGACTATACAGGGCTGGGTCAGATCCTTCATCATTGAAGTCTCCCCACAAAGCTGTGGCATTTCTTTCCACAAACCCTGCTGCAGCTCAGGGCAATGTTATGGGCAGTGCGTGAGAGTCTCTGAGCTCTGCTGCAGGCAGATCAGACACAGTCCACCTAGATGATTTGAATCTAAGACTGAGGTGTGCTTAGGAGAGGAAATGCGGGGAGATGTGTAGTGAGCACCGGCAGGGAAGACTTTTCCTTCCTGTCTTTCATCAAGGGTCTCCAGAGCTAAGCTACAACCGCTTTCTCTCCTTCCAGACGCAGTTTCTTTGGAACACACTGCAGGCACGGCAGCCTGCCCCCTTGATGAGCATCATCCCCCTCTCGTTCCCAAGAGGCACCGTGTGGCCCTCAGGACAGCCGTCTGCTCATAGGCACAGCACCAGGGCACAGCTGCTGGCTGGCCAGCACCCTGCCCTGGGCACTCTCTTGGTTCGAGGGCAGAGCATCCCTTTCCGAGAACAGCACACAGTGCAGTGCAGCACCCAGCCCCGGAACAGGGGCTACTCGTGGAGACGGGCTGCAGAGCCAACAGCAGCTACCCAGCCCTTCACTAAAACCAGGGGAAGGCCGATGAGTGCCTGGCAGCTCTCTGCAGCCAAGGCGGAAGGATGTGAGTGTGCATTATCTCACTTTGGTTCTGCCTTTTTGTGCTTTGCGTGCAGAACCATCATGGGCAGACATGGAAGTTCTGATGCGCTGGGGTGGGAGAAGCAGGGGGGTTGGATGGAGCTGTTCCACGGTTGGGGAGGGCTGTGCAGGTGCCCCAGGGCCGAGCGGCCCACAAAGAACAGCTGGCTGCAGCTGTGCGGGCACCCACACCTCTGTCTGTGCTCCTGCAGGTGTCGTCGGGCGGTCGCTCTGCGCAGGCAGCGCTCACCGTGCTTCGTTGGGATGCCCGGCCCGTGCAGGCAAGGCAATGGGCGATGGCAGCTTCAGCGGTGTGACGGCACAGCGGCTCCTCGTAGCCTCTGCCGCCCTGGTGCTGCACACACGTGCCACGCGCTGCGCCAGCGCCGTGAATTTCCGCGACGTGAGCAGCACAGGTAAGGGGCTCCGGCCCCCCCGGGCACCGCTCCCTGCAGCACGGCTGCCGGAGGGCGCGCTCCATCCGAGCGCCCTCGCTCTGGCCCTGGGGTCCTGCGGGATGGCGAGGCTCTGCCTTTACGCCGCAGTTGTCCCTTCCCTCAGGACTCCGAACCGCTGGCTGTCGGCGGCGGCGGAGCCTGCAGCCCCACGTGCCGGGGGCGGCACGCCGTGCCCAGACCCCGCCGTGCCTCCCGCGCTTCCCCCGCCCCGGGGCCGCCCCCGCCCCGCCCCCCTCGGGCCATGGCGGCGCTGGTGCGGTGCGGGCTGCGGGTCGGTGCGCTGCTGGCCGCATCCCCGCGGCGGGCGGCGGCAACGTGGCGCGGGGACCCGGAGCCGCCGAACGCGGCGCTAGATGAGGCCGAGAGGTACGGGACGGCGGGGCCGAGTCCGCGGCCGGGAGGACCGGGGTGCTCACGCGTTTCTCTCCCCCGCAGGGCACGGAGGCGGCGGAAGGCGGCGCGGCTGCGGCGGGAGCTGGGCGGGGAGCGCGGCGCCCCCGAGCGGACGCTGACCTGGGAGGCGATGGAGCAGATGCGGTGAGCGGCCGGGTCCGGGCGGGGCGAGGCGGGACGGAGCGGTAGGCGGTGACCGCGCTGCACCCGCAGGTTCCTGCGGCAGGAACTGCCCGAAGAGTGGCCGCCGGAGCGCCTGGCCGAGGGCTTCGGCGTCAGCCCCGACGTGGTGCGCCGGGTGCTGCGGAGCCGGAGCCGCCTCCCGCCGCACCGCCGCCTGCGCCAGGACGCGCGAGCGCTGCGCGCAGCCCCGCAGCGCCCGAACCCGGGTCCCGGTCCGCCCGCCGGCACGGAGGTGCGCGCCCCAGACGGCTCGCTGCTGTACCGCCTGCCGCGAGGGCTGGGCGGGCTGCAATAAACTGTTGAACGGGGCTCGGCTCCGCCCGCTCCTGGCGTTTGCGTACTCCCCGGCGCGCCGGCGCAGCCCGCACTACGACCATGGGTTCAGATGCGGCGCGGTTGCTGGAGGCGGCGGACTTCGCGGCCTGGAAACACAGGGAGCAGCGGCGGAAGGACCCCGAGGGCACCCCGTACATCAATCACCCCATCGGTGCGGCGGCCGCTCCCGTCCCACTGCCCTTCTCGTGAACCCTGCAGAGCCCCCGGTGCCGCTCTAACCCTCCCGACCCCCCCCCTCCCCTCCCGGTGTCTCCCGGTATCTGTTCCAGGCGTGGCGCGGATCCTGTCGCACGAGGCGGGCGTCACGGACGTCGTGGTGCTGCAGGTACCGCTCCGCCCGGGGCCGCGGTGGCGACGCCGCCCGGCCGGCCCTGACCGCCCCCCGACCGACCCCCCCTGACGGCCCCCCCGGGCCCCGCAGGCCGCGCTGCTGCACGACACGGTGGAGGACACGGACACGACGCTGCCCGAGATCGAGGAGCGCTTCGGACCCGAGGTGCGGCGCGTGGTGGAGGAGCTGACGGACGACAAAGCGCTGCCGAAGGCGGAGCGGAAGCGGCTGCAGGTGGAGCGGGCGGCGGGCAGCAGCCCGCGGGCCAAGCTGGTGAAACTGGCGGACAAACTGCACAACCTGCGGGACCTGCAGCGCCGCGCGCCCAAAGGTGCGACCGGCGCTCGGCCTGGCCCCGCCCCCCGCGGGCCCGGCGCCGGAAGTGACGCGCCGCGCGTGTCCCCGCAGGGTGGTCGGAGGAGCGCGTGCAGGAGTACTTCCGGTGGGCGGCGGAAGTGGTGGCCGGCCTGCGCGGGACGAGCCCGCCGCTGGAGGCGGCGCTGCGGCGGCTGCTGGAGGAGCGCGGCGTGGCGCTGGGGCCGGGAACGGGGCAATAAATGCGGCGGCTGCTGGAGGAGCGCGGCGTGGCGCTGGGGCCGGGAACGGGGCAATAAATGCGGCGGGTGCCGTCTCACGTCTCCTTCCTGGTTGCTGCGGGCGCTTCCGGCGCGGGGTCACGTGACTGTTGGTGCTTCCGGCGCGCCAATTCCTGTGGTTCCTGTGGGTTCCGGCGGAACCGCGGCCTCGCGGCGGCGTTCCGGGCCGCACGACGGCTCCGCTATGGCTTCCACCGCCCGGCGTGACGCGCCCGAGCCGCCCGACTTCGGTATCCTGAAGCGGCTGGCGCGGGACCAGCTCATCTACTTGCTGGAGCAGGTGCGGGCGGGCGCTGGAGAGGGCCGGGAGCGGCCCCGGGGGTCGGCGCGGGGATGGGGCGCGGGGCGCGGGGTTTCCCGGCGCCGCCCCACGCCGCCCGACCGCCCGCAGCTGCCCGGCAGGAAGGACCTGTTCATCGAGCCCGACCTGATGAGCCCCCTAGACCGCATCGCCAACGTCTCCGTCCTGAAGGTATCGCGGGGCCTGGGGTCGGGCCCGGGCTTGCCGGCACCGCCCGCTGACAGCCCCGCGCCTCGCCCCGCAGCAGCACGAGGTGGACAAGCTGTACAGGGTGGAGAACCGGCCGGCCCCCAGCACCAGCGATCAGTGAGTGCTGCCCTCTGCTCGGGATGTACCTCCCTGTGCCCGCGGGAGCTCGGGTGGCAGCTCTCACACCCTGTCGCCCCGTTCCCAGGCTCTGCTTCCTCGTGCGGCCGCGGGTCAGGACGATGCGGTACATTGCAGGTGAGAGCCTGGCGGGCAGCTGCCTGCAGCCTGTCATGGGTTCACAATCCCCTGTCGCTGGTTCACGATCCCTCAGCTCTGCGCTCTGCAGGCACTCTGGGAAGGTCAGGATGTGGTGTGTGGGTCGTCTCATGCTGCACTGACTGCAACTTTGCACTGCCAGTACCTTCCAACCCCTGTAGGCCACTATTCCTGGGCTGGAAAATGTCCCTGTTCCCAGGTTCTTCTTTCTGCCTTGGGTGCTGTGAGGAGCAGTGCCCCCCACCTTATCCTATTGGACAAGTTGTGGCAGTTCAGGGTGGCAAGCGGTGTTTATGAGGTCTGCGCACATGTTGTTTGCAGACATTGTCAATGCTGACAAGATGTCAGGGAGGAGCCGGAAATACAAGATCATCTTCAGCCCCCAGAAGGTCAGTGCTGCTTCTACCCCTTGTGGCCTGGTCTGACCCTCACACTTCCTGCCCCTCCTGTCCCAATTGGAAGTTGTTTCTTAACCAGAGCTGTTTCACTGAAGTCAAGTGTTATGGTGTCTGAGAAGATAGTCCTGTCTACTACAGGGAGCTCTTTTCCTGCCTGTGGTGGAGCGTGACTGAGGATCTTTTCTTGTTTTGCAGTTCTATGCCTGTGAGATGGTGTTGGAGGAAGAGGGAGTCTTTGGCGGTGAGTAGGTCTGTGGTACCCAACACTGTTCCCTCACAGCACTCTGACCACCACTGAACTCCAGTACCGGGATCTCCTGGAGGAGCAGTGGTTCTGCCCCTGCTTGGGTAGAGAAAAGAATGAGTCCCCTTGGAGAGGACCCATCTCTGTTTTCCTCCTCTGCATGAGGAGTTGCTGGGATTCCTGGGGCTGTTTTTGCTGAGGGTGGATGACTGTTGCCTTTTCCTGTCCCACACTCAGATGTCACCTGTGATGAGTGGTCCTTCTACTTGCTTCCCCTGGATGAAGATATCATCAGTATGGAGCTGCCTGAGTTTTTCCGGGACTATTTCTTGGTCAGTAGGGATGGTCTGCTAGGTGCTGCCTGTGAGATGGCAGCTCTTCTGTCACTTGTCTCTAGGCCTAGGCTAGGAGGGCTTTGTTCAGGAAGCTAATGTCCTGCTCAGTCCTCCCAGTCCTCACTGCAGGATGCTGCCTGCTGTCTTGGGAAAGATTTTGCCTGGGGCAGCCACTTGGACATGCTGTGGTGGCTCCTCCTGAGCAGCACTGGGCATCAAGCTTGTTCCTATGTGTGTGGAGTGGGACCGAGCCCACGGACCCTCAGCCCTGCTTTGCATCTGATTGAGGCCCCCGATGCACACAGTTATTTCCAGTCCAGCCTGCGCAGAATGCACAGATCCTAATGCTGTTGTGCTCCCTGCAGGAGGGAGATCACCGCTGGATCAACTCAGTTGCTCGAGCCCTGCAGCTGCTGAACTCCCTGTATGGGCCATTCAGCAGGGCCTATGGGATTGGGAGGTGTGCCAAGGTAGGTACGGCAGGGCTTATGCTGTGCTCTCACCTCTGGAACGAAGGTTGGTGGGAGTGCTCTGTTTCCTGTGCCTGAGCTGAGGCTGCACAGGGGAAATTGCAGCAGCACCCACACATGGCTGGGGACTGTGCTGGCACCCAGTCCCTGCTGTGTACTGCAGCTCTTGGTGAGCCCTGTCACAGACACTGGCACAGTTTCTTCCTTGCAGATGAGCTATGAGCTGTGGCGAGATCTGGAGGAGGAGAGCGAGAGTGATGGGCAGGGTAGAAAGCCAGAGATTGGGAACATCTTCCTCATGGACAGAGGTAAGGGCTGGCACCAGCTGAAGTGAGAGGCAGCAGGACTGGGCCTGGCAGGGGGAAACTGCTTGGGCAGCAAATGTGTCCTCATTGCAGACACAGACTACGTCACAGCGCTGTGCTCGCAGGTGGTGTACGAGGGGCTGGTGGATGACACCTTCCGTATCAAGTGTGGTAAGTGGGGGGGTCAGTGATGTGGTGACATGAGGCTCTCCTGAGGTTTGTGCTTGGACCTGGTGTGGGATGGTGCTAAAGACCACACATGAGGGCAGATCTGTCTGAAGAAGCATCAGAGCAAGTATTACCTATCTCTGCAGAGACGTCACTAGTGCTGAGGCAAAGCAGTTTTGGGGAGACCTTATTGCAGCTTTGCAGTGTGTGAAAGGGGCTTGTAAGAAAGAGGGAGATCTTTTAAAAGAGCATGTAGTGATGGAACACAGGGTAGGAGCTTTAAACTTAGAGAGTAGATTTAGATTAGACATTAGGAAGGAATTCTTGTCTCTGAGGGCAGTGAGGTCCTGGCACAGGCTGCCTAGAAAGGCTGTGGATGCCCCATCCTTAGAAGCACTTAGAAATCTGGATGGGACTTTGGGCAGCCTGGTCTGCCTATGGCAGGGGGTTTGTAACAAGGCCTTTAAGGTCCTTTCCAACTCAGACTATTCTGTTGTTCTGAGATTCGTGCTATGATTCTGCAACTTTTCATCTTTCTCTGTAGGGAGTGTGGATTTTGGGCCAGAAGTCACCTCTTCTGACAAGAGCATTAAGGTGCTGCTCAATGCCCAGGACAAAGTGAGTCCTGCTTATGTGGTAGCAGGCCTTTCTGGTGCTGTGTGGGGCACTGGGGGGAGGCTGATCAAAAATTGACTGGGCACTGTTGGGTCTGGAGGCTTTGGCTGTGATGGGCTGCGTGTGGAGATGGAGAAGCAAAGTCTGTGGGCACAGCCTGACCTCTGTTGTCAGCACCACCCCTGCAGGCAGAGCTGAGTGGTGCCTGGGGGGCAGCAGCCTCACTGGTGGAGTGCAGCCTCTTCTCACTGTTGGTCATGGCAAACCTGGCTCCTGGTTGGGCTGTGCTGACCTGGCCTGAGCTTTGGGGAACAATTAGCTCTGGTGCTGCGGTGCTTTCTGCAGATCTTCAGCCAGATTCGGAACGAACACTTCTCCAGTGTGTTTGGCTTCCTGAGCCAGAAGTCACGCAACCTGCAGGCGCAGTATGATGTGAGTATAGCCTCATGCTGAGGGCTCCCCAGCATCATCCCTCCACAGCTGGGTCACTCCCTGGATGCTCTCACTTCCACAGCGCCGCCAGGGCATGGACATCAAGCAGATGAAGAACTTTGTCTCCCAGGAACTGAAGGGACTAAAACAAGAGCATCGCCTGTTGAGTCTGCGTAGGTGCTGGGGCAGCAAGGAGCAGGAGGCCCCAGCTGCTGCAGTGGGTGCCTGAGCCCTAGGGAAGCAGGGGGGTTGCAGGGCCTGGTATTCCCTAGGAGGAATCTGAGCTGTGGGCAGGGCAACAGAGGGTGTTGTTGCATGCACAGGCCTACAGTGGGACTGCATGCGGAGCCTGTTACAGCTCCAAAGTAGAAAACTCTCTTGGCTGTACAGACATAGGTGCCTGTGAGTCCATCATGAAAAAGAAAACCAAGCAGGACTTCCAGGAGATGATCAAGGTTGAACATGGTGAGGGCCATTCCCCATGCCTGTTGTTGCTCCCCATCCTAGCTTTGGGTCTTCCACCTTTGCTCCGATGCCAGCCTCATTGCCCCAGATCTGGGCTGCCTCACAAGCTGGGTGTTCCCTCCAGACCCTTCATGCTGGGGTGGGTTGTGAGGTCCCCACAGGGCTGACACGTGGTAAGGCAGGCAGCCCAGTACTGCAAGCCTTCCCCTTTCCCCGAGGCTCAGTGGGGAGGCTGAGACCAGATTCTACCTCAGCTAGCTGATGGGAGCCCCGGGGATGGGAGAAGTGACTGCCTCTCCCCCCCGCCACAGCTCTGCTGGAGGGCTTTGACATCCGTGAGAGCACCAGCTTCATCGAGGAGCACATTGACCGGCAGGTAAGAGCTGTACCGCACTGCGGGGCTGTACATGGGCTGGCAGCCTGCTCACGGCACCCACTGCAATGCAGGTGTCCCCTATTGAGAGCTTGCGCCTGATGTGCCTGCTGTCCATCACGGAGAATGGTGAGGGGGAGTCTAGGAGCTCAGCGGATGTCAGCACTGGGTGCTGTGCACTCAGCTCACCACGGCATCCCCACAGGTCTCATCCCCAAAGACTACCGTTCCCTGAAGACCCAGTACCTGCAGGTGAGCGTGTGCCTGGGGCACTGGCTGCAGTGTTCGTCAGGGCATGGGGCTGTCAGAGCAGGGGCTGACCTCTCTGCCTGCCCCTGCCTGACTGAGTTACCTGAAATAGCCTGCTGGGCTCCTGCGTGTCCTCAAGAAAGTGTCACACTGATGTCATGCATGACTTTGTGCTGATCTGCCCACTCCCTTCCTCAGAGCTATGGGCCTGAACACTTGCTGACCTTCCACAACCTCAAGCACATCGGACTGCTGACTGAGCAGGCAGCTGGAGAGACCCTGACAGCAATGGAGAGCAGAGTCAGCAGGCTGGTGACGGACCGAGCGGCAGGTGAGAGCCTGCACTGCAGGAACCCCAGGGCAGGACAGCGCAGCACAGGGCACTGCAGTGCTAAGAGGCACGTGGGATGGCCCCACAGCTTTTACTGCTGCTCCATCTCTTCCAGCGGTGCCTCAGCCCGGCTTATGGTGTGCAGTCACTGTGATGCATCCAAAGACTCAGTCATTTCTTGTCTTGTTTTCCAGGAAAAATCACAGATGCATTTAATTCCTTGGCCAAGAAGAGCAACTTCCGAGCCATAAGCAAGAAGCTGAGCTTGGTACGTCCTCTGGGGGCTGCTGGGCTGGCAGAAGAGTTGTGCCCAGCCTGTGCCTGACCCCAAAGGCTCTACGCCCTCAGCTGCCAGCCAGGCACACGCAGTGCACGGGAGCTGGGCTGCTGCTGGTGCTCCAGCCTGCCTTGCCAGCCACGGCTGCTCTGACCCTGCTGCAGGGCAGTCCCTGCTGCTGGCCCTGCTGGGACTCAGCCCGACGCAGAGCCCAGCCCAGCTGCGCCTCTGCTGTCAGTATCAAGCAGCGCTTCCCTGCAGATCCCGCGGGTGGACGGCGAGTACAACCTGAAAATGCCCCGGGACATGGCGTACGTTTTCAGCGGGGCCTACACTCCCCTGAGCTGCAAGATCATCGAGCAGGTGAGCCCTCCCACGCGCTCTTCCCCGAGCAGAGCACCGCCTCGTCCGCCCCGCAGGGGCTGCGGCGCCGCCTTCTCTGCACGGCCCGGTCCGAGCCTGCCCTGCCCTGCAGGTGCTGGAGCGCCGGGGCTGGCAGGGCCTGGAGGAGGCGGTGCGGCTGCTGAACGGCAACGAGTTTGCGATGGCCGGTAGGGCGGGGGCCGGGCGGGGGGCGGGGGCGGTGCCGGGGGTCGGCGCGTGCCAGCCTCCGTGCTCCGCAGACGGCGCGCCGGAGGAGGGCGCGGGCGGGGACGCGCAGCGCGTCGTCCTGGCGCTGTTCCTGGGGGGCTGCACCTTCTCGGAGATCGCCGCTCTCCGCTTCCTGGGCAAGGAGCGAGGTAGGACGGGGCGCTGGGGGGGCGGCGCGGCCCCGCGGGCGCCGAGCACGAGGCGCTGTGCCGTCCCTAGGCTGCAGGTTCATCTTCCTGACCACCGCCATCACCAGCAGCGCCCGCATGATGGAGGCCATGGCCGAAGCCAAGGCGTGACGCCGGGCCGCGGGCGCGCCGTTCTGCTCAATAAACGCCGCCGCGCCGTTTGGCGTCATTCAAAGCTGAGCGACGCGCACGTTTCCGGGTCACGTGATCCGCGTCGAAGTCCGCGCGTGCGCAGCGCGACGGAGCGGTGCTCAGAGCCGCTTCGCGTAGCCATTCTCGCTTGCGATTGGGCAGAAATCCCGAAGGCTTTTCGCTGCCATTGGCTGGCTCCCGGCTTGGGGCGGGACCCGAGCGACGGTTGTGGGCGGGACCCGCCGCGGCGCTTCGGCCAATGAGCGCCGCCGGGAGGCGAGTTTGAATCGGCGGCCCCGGACGGGAGGCGGTGGCGGCGCAGAGCGGAGCCATGAGGAAGAGGTGCGGGGCCGGGGCCGGGGCCGGGGCCGGGGGCCGCGAGGAGGGGCCAGGAGCGGCGCTGGGGCGCGGGAGCCGGGGGGGCGGTGGGCCCGGGGCTGCCGTGCCGCTCAGACCCGCTGCCCGCAGCGAAGTGCTGGCGGCCGAGGCCGTGTCGTGCCTGAACCGCGCGTTGTCGGCGCTGCGGGACATCTGGGAGGAGATCGGCATCCCCGAGGAGCTGCGGCTGGAGCGCACCGGTGCGGTGAAGAAGCACATCAAGGTGAGCGGGGCGCTGGGCCGGGGTGGGGCGGCGGCGGCATCGGCACCGGCGTGCCCTGAGCGAGCCGCGCCGTGCCGCAGAACCTCCTGGACATGATGGTGGCGGAGGAGGAGCACCTGAAGGAGCAGCTGCTGAGGAGCGTCGCCGCGTACCGAAAGGAGCTCGACGGCCTCTGCGCGGAGCTGCAGGCGGAGCCCTTCCAGGTGAGGGACGCGGCTCTCCGCAGCCTCCCCCGCCGAAGCTGGGCCGAGCCAAAGGCTTTCTGCCCCCCCCCGGCGTGGGTGGGGGCTGTGAGGTGGCCGGCGGGAAGCGGTGCTGTGCCTGGGGCCCAGGGCTGCCCTGCTGGGCTCTGGAGCTGCGTCCCGGCTCTGTGCCTAAGGATTTCCAAAAAGCATCACGGAGAACAGACCCTGGTCCCTGTCTTCTTTTAGACAGAGGAGGGGAGTACCATCCTACAGATGGTGAAGGATTTACATACCCGCGTGGCGATGTTGTTGAAGCAGAAGAAAGATAGGAAGCAGGAATTGAAGGCCCTGCAGGAACAGGACAAGAACCTGTGTGACATTCTCTGCGTGTCCCTCTTCAGCATTGATGATAGCGCCGTGCCCAGCCTGGACGAGCTTGACCGCTACCGACGGCACGTGGCCTCCCTCAGCGCTGAGAAGGTGAGCAGGAGGGGCCCGGACCTCCGGGGATGGGGGGGGTTGGAAGGTGCCCACTGGGTCTTCATGGGGCTCCTCACCTCCAGGAGCGAAGGCAAGAAGAATTTGTCAGCATCAAGCGGCAGGTCGTCCTCTGCATGGCGGAGCTGGAGCACAGCCCTGACACCAGCTTCGAGCGGGACGTGGTGTGTGAGGATGAGGAGGCCTTCTGTTTGTCCACAGATAACATCGCTAACCTCCAGAGCCTGCTGCAGCAGGTACGTTGGCACACTGAGCTGGCCCTGCCGTGACTAACGGCACTGCAGAGGCTGCCTGGCAGCACGCCGTAAAGGTTGTTCTGTCTGTAGCAAGCCCTTGTGTTAGCATGCACTTCTAGAAGCTTTTGCTTGGAAATGTTGGGGGATGAGAGAGGGGTGTGACAGCTGCAGTCTGTGAGCAGCCTCCTTGCATCCCTCAGCGCCAGGCTGTGGCAGTGCTGAACTCACACTTTCCCTCTGCAGCTGGAAGCACGGCGGGCACTGAATGAAGCCATGTGTGCAGAGCTGCGCTCCAGAATCACTGAGCTTTGGGAAAGGCTGCAGGTACCTGAGGAGGAGAGACAGTCTTTTGCAGTGCACATGACTGGATCCAAAGCGAAAACCAGGGAAGCTGTAAGAACCATCTGATGCCATTTGGCAGTGGGAGGGAAAGGGTGGGGCAGCTCTGGGTTTCACACTTGTTTGCTCATCTGGAGTGGAAGAGCAGCTTCCAGCAGTCAGGCATAATGTGAGCAGACTAAATCCTGCCTTCAAGCTCTGTGAAAGCTGGGAGTTGGTGCTGGTGGTTGGCTTGCCCAGAGATGGCTTATGCAGAAGTTGAATTGCGTTCTGCTCTTCTATGCTTTTTCTTTTCTGAGTCTGTGCTGTGGTTGTGTTGGCAGTTGAAGCTGGAAGTAGGCCGTCTGGAGGAGCTGAAGCTGCAGAACATGAAGTCCGTGGTTCAGGCGATCCGCGCAGAGCTGGCTGAATACTGGGACAAATGCTTCTACAGCCAGGAGCAGAGGGACGCCTTCAGTCCCTATTACGATGGTGGGTGGTGGCTCTTCCTGTAACTGACTCCCTTGAGGGAGCTGCAGCAGGCCTGCTGCCAAAAAGGGCTGCTGAGTGGCGCGGGGATCCTGGCTGCTTCCTGAGCGTGCTGCTTTGTCTCTCCAGAGGATTATACAGAGGCCTTGCTCCAGCTCCATGATATTGAGGTGGAGAAGGTGAAAAGCTACTACAGAACACACAAGGAGCTGTTTGAGGCTGTTCAGAAATGGGAGGAGAACTGGAAGCTGTTTCTGGAACTGGAGGTATTGGGTAGTGCTACATCTCTGGGCTGTGCATAGGGGTTGGTGAGGGAATGGGATGCTGTGCCTGGAGCGCCAGTGTGACCCAAGATGCAGAGCTTGTGCAGGTGTTGCACCACTAAGGTGACTTCCTCCAGGGCCCATGGGAGTGCTGGGCAGTGAGGCTGGGCCCCATCTCATTATCTCCTGACTTTTCTGTGCTAGAGGAAAACAGCTGACCCCAGCCGCTTCTCCAACCGCGGGGGGAGCCTGCTGAAAGAAGAGAAGCAGCGAGTAAAACTGCAGAAGACTCTTTCCAAGGTGGGTACAGACCTGGAGAAGAAGCTGTAGTCCTGAATAGGCACATGTAACACTGACCAGGGAGAAGCACAGCACTTGGAGCTCCAGCCAGGGCTGTCTCTGGGCAGGGAGCTGCCCACGTCCAGGATGACAGCTCCTACACTGCCCTCCTGTCCTGAGCAGCTGCAGGAGGAGCTGGAGAGCAGGATCCAGGCCTGGGAGCAGGAGCGTGAGGAGCCTTTCCTGGTGAAGGGACAGCAGTTCATGGAGTATGTGACAGAGCAGTGGCAGCTGTATCACATGGAGAAAGAGAAGGAGAAACAGGAGCGGGTGAGTACAGAGCTGAATGTGCTATCCTGGCCTGGCTGTTGATAGGGAGAGCAGTTGCCAGCTCCCTAGGGCAGAGGGGCTCTTCGTGCTCTTTTCTGGCTCTGTGTGTGGTCACCTTCTTCAAACAGCAGGGCAGGTGGCTGCCTGCATCTGTGTTGAGCCCCAGCAGCTGCAGACCTATAGTGTTTGCACCTGTCCTTCCCCTGGCACTGAGCATTGAAGTAGAAGTTCTGTGGCGCTGTGCAGCCAGCTGCGTGCTGCTCCTCTGCTCAGACTAATGAGTGTAGATCTTTCAAACAGCACCTGAAGAAAAGCCGCCAGATTGAGACAGAGATGATGTATGGGAGCACCCCAAGGACTCCTATCAAGCGCCGAGTGCTTGGTCCCCACACGCCTGGCAAAGTAAGGAAGGTAAACTGTCTGTGTTGGGCATGGAGTGCTTAGCTGAGACCCTACCAGGGCTTGAGCTAGGCAAGTGCTGTGAGAATAGTGATGTTTAGAGCCCTCCCTCTGACTTAGCCTCACAGTGATGCCAGAAGGGCCCAGGCTTATTGCAGCAGCAGCAGCATAAAAGAATCTTATACTGTAAATGGGTACAGGGAGGGGGCTGTGGGCACCTCTGTTCTCTGTGGGGACGATGGGAACTGTTGCCCTGCACTGGAGCCAGTGCTTCTACCGTGGTTTTCCTGGTGTGGAGCATCCCCTAGTTTCCTCCCCACATTCTGTATGCTCTGTTTTCCTCCAGCTCAATGGCACTTCCCTCTCCACTGCCACTCCCAACAGCACCATTCGTTCAGCTTTTGGGGCAACTCTCTTCCATTCACCAACGTCTCGGCTACCACCCTCTGGAGGGAAGGTGAGAGGCTTTATGGAGCATCCCTGCTCACAGGGTGGGTTGGTGCAGCCCTGCTGTGTCACACTGCTGTATGACACTGCCAGGCCAGGTTGCACTCAGCTCCCACCTCCTGGGCTACAGAGGCTGCTCTGTTGGTGGCTGCTCTGCTGGACAGCCATACTGCTGGTACGATGTTTGGGGATCAATACTGCCCAAATTAAAAGGAGAATGGTAGCATGCAGGAAATCTTCCTCCAACCCAGATTTCTGGTGTTTCTGGGCCTTAGACCTAAAATGCAGGACTTTAGGAGCTTGAAGTGCAGGACAGCAGCCACAAGTCCTGCACTGCTGCACTGCCCTCAGCTCACACATCTGCCTCCTGCTCCACAGCTTGGCCAGGTGCGGACCCCCATCTGCGTGGCTGCGAAGCCCCCCCGGCCCGGACACAGGGAGTGGAACAAGGAGAACCTGTCACAGCTGAACGGAACCACCCTGAGCGGTGGGTGCAGCCCCGCAGCCCCTGCCCAGCGTAACCACAGCGTTAATTCTGTTGCCAGCACCTATTCTGAGTTTGCGGTAATTCACCTCTTCTGAACGTGCCTCCCCTCACTGGGCTGCACCCGGGCTGTGCTTCCTGCTCCTCACAGAGCACCGCAGGGCCACCGCTGTGCACAGCCCAACCTCTGCTCTGCGCAGAGCGGCTGCTCCTGCCAGCACCCACGGCACCAGCTGCTGACTCCGTGACAGGAGTTTCAATTGAAGTTTGGTGACCGAGGCCAAGCACTGCTCCATCGTGTGCAGGCCCTGAGCAGCCCAGTGGGGATCTGATATTTACAGGAGGACGGTGATGCCTGGCTCCCGCCTGCCCCCTGCAGGAGCAAAGCCGTGCCTTTGACACGGTCCCGTTGTGCCAGGCCTCCTGCATTGCCCTGCTGTAGTAATGCAGCCATCCTCCAGACCTGGGTCTGCTCCCAGCTGCTTAGCAAAGAACCTCCGTGTGGTTTGAAGCAATGCGTCATGGAGGGCGTGCCCCATTCCAGCTCAGAGGCCTGGGTAGCTGGCAGCAGCAGCACTCTGCCACTGTACTAACAGTTAACTGAAAGAAGGGAGGGTGGGAGCCTTTTCCTGCAGCCTGCGTGGCTTCATCAGTGCATGTGCTGTGCTCTCAGCCCATGGGGAGGGATCCCTGTGCAATTTGTTCTGTGGGCATGAGGTGTGCTGGGTGAGCAGAGGCTCCCAGGGCCACAGAGGTAGATGATCTCTGCTGTAGGATGGAGCTTTGCTGCCTAGAGGCCTCTGCCCTTCAGGCTTTCATGTCCAAGCACTAACCTCGTCTGCTTCGTACAGATGTAAGCATCGCTCCCCATGGCAGCTGAGCAAGTGCTGGAGCTGCCCTGACATCAAGCCCTGCTCCCATGCATGTGTGCTGCTCCTGCTGGGCAGAGGCAGGGTCCTGCAGAGCTCCCTTCTGTAGCTGCATGCTGCTGTCTGTGCCCACCCCTGCCTGTGCTCCTGCTTCCCCTCCCTGCAGCTAAGGGACACGTGGTTGGAGCTGAGAGCTGCCCAAGACCAGCACTGTGTGCTGCCAGCTGCAGGAGGGAGGAGTCCATCTCCTCACCTGGAGCTCTTTGGGCAGCACTATGTACCACTGCTTCTGGGATGCTCCCAGTTCTCCCAGCTACTGAGAGCAAATCCTCCTGTCTCCTAAAGCAAGAGGGCAGAGGGCTTTGTCTTCTCAAACAAACAAGCAGCAGCTTTGTCTCCATGGCCCTTGGCACAGCTGCCCTTTCCCACCCCTCATCCCTCTCTCTGCTTCTTGTATCCACAGCGTGAACTCTCAAAGGCCTCCAGGTGTGATACCAGCTCCCGCATCCTCAACTCCACCACCACCAATGCGTTCTGCTGAGGTGCTGCCTTGGGCTCCAGTTGTAGTCGTAGTGAGTCATTGTTCTGGCAGCTTCTGGCCCCAGGGGCTGCTGCTCTCAGTTTAACTTTTAGTGAGCACCCCTGCCAGCCTGGCTCTGCAGTGTGGGGGGTTCCCACCTGTGAGGGCAGCAGCTGAAAGGGACACTTTTAAAATTTTGTTTTTATTTGGGGAACTCTCGCAGATATTTGTGATTAAAGATTTAAGATTTAAAGACTGTGGAGGTAGTGTAGCAGTGGGTGCTGCAGCCTGGTGGGGTGGTGGTATGAGGGCGCAGGGCTCTGCCTTGCTGAGTGCTCTGGGACAGACAGGACCAAGCACAGATAACTTTTTCTCCCCCCTGCCCCCAGTGCCTGTAGCTATTATTGTCTCCCAGGGCCTTCCTCTGTCACCATCACCTCAGCTGTGTTTCAGCCAAGGCTTGCTTTAGCTGAGATTTCCCTTGCACTCACACGAGCCTGCAGCCTGGCCCCAGCATATCATCTCTCCTCACAAGGCAGTGTAGGCACCTGTGTCCTGCAACTGCCCTGTGCTCCTAGAGCTCATCACACTGCTTCCCTGCATCCTCTGCCCTTCCTGAAACCTGGGCAGGTCAGGGCTGGAGGCACAGTCCCAGAAGCTACTTGAGCTGTGGTAGGACCAAAGCCAACAGCCTCCAGTGCTGTCCCTTCCCCTGTTCTGCTCCAGCTGTATTCAGCAGTAAAACATGCTGGTTGGTAGTTTGCACCTTTCTTAGCTCGGTCCTTGATCATGACTAATTTGCACCTTGTTATCACTACAGCCCCCCACCTGCTGTTACTTACAGCCGAAGTTCTATCTCCTTACTCTGTAACTGTATATACTGTTATATGAGAATAATGCTTATCTGTATATATAGCCACTGCTGTTCGTGTGTCTGTTGGGATGACCAAAATCTCTGTTCTCAGAGCCACAGAGGGGGCAGAGTGAGGGCTGGGCACTTCCCCCTCCCCTCTTGGCACTCTAGGGTCCGGGCTAGACAGGAGCCATCCTTTGTAAGCACCATGAAGCACTACTGCCGCTGTTACAAACAAATAAGATTTAATAAATATGTTCATTCTGCGTCATCTTCAGCAGCAGCGCCTCTCCAGCCTGGGCTGCAATAGGCAGCAGCACCACCCCAGCACTGAGGTCAGGGATGGGGGCTGAGCTCCCCCTGGCAGCTCCCAAGCTTAGTCCCAGCTTGCAGGGCTGTGCTGGGCGGGTGGGAGCCCCGCGCCCCTCCCTGCTGCAGGACGCAGACATAGGTGTTCCAGGGCCCACACACCACCTCCTGTGCCCACAGCCCCTCAGCCCAGAGCTGCTCCACACGCCGTGGGTGGTCACAGCTGGCACGGTCCCCGTGCCCGAGCTGCCCGTATTTACCTGCGGACAGAGCAGTGCACGCTGGGGCCTGGTGGGGGGATGCACCCCTGGGACAGCACCCCAAACCAACCCCTATATAAGCAATAAAGTAATGAAACCAAAGGCAGCGCTTACCCCAGCCCCACGTGTACAACTCTCCGCCTCCTGCAATCAGGACAGTGCCATCAGCCCCCAGCCTGGGGCTGCAGGACCCCCCACCCTCCCTCCATCCCTGGGCACTCACGTGTGACTGCAGCCGTGTGCCGTGAACCGCAGCTCACTGCAGCCACCGCCGGCTCCAAAGGGAGGTCCAGCAGGGCCGGGAAGGCCTGGATGGAGATGAAGGCAGGGCCCAGCGACTCCCCAGGCAGCGGTGGATCCTCAGGCCCTGTGCAGAGCACTGCTCAGCCTCACAGATGAGCCCAGCACTGCTGCAGCCCCCCGCTGTCCTCACCTGCACCCATGTCCTCATCCTCTGCCTGCTCTTCTGCCACCGTCCGGGAGGGCAGCCCCAGCTGGCCCGACTCGTTCCAGCCCCACATGTAGAGGTCTCCGCCATCTGCAGAGGATGTATGCTGGTCAGGGCACAGCAGGAGCTGCCCCTCCGTGTCCCCGGGCAGCACCGAGCCCCTCACCGCTGACACAGGCCGAGTGCCACCCGCCGGCTGCCACCGCCCTCATGGGCACACCACCCAGAGCCTCCACCAGCCGCGGCTGCTGCTCGGATTCCAGGCTGCCGTGGCCGAGCTGCCCATGCCTGTGGGGAGACACACGGACAGACAGAAGGGCACAGACAGACGCCCCCCCCACTACCCCTCGCCCCGTCCTGCTGCCCCTCTGCAGCTGTGTGCAGCTCAGTCCTAAGGGGCTGCACAGTGCAGTAGTTCTATACAACCCAATGACGTGTGACACGGTGTTAAAGCAAGCCCTGAGGTTACACATCACTCCCTGCTCACACTGCTGCTGTCTGAGCTTCGGTCACAGCGCCGGCTCAGCACAGCCGCCCCTTCAGCCCCTTCAGTCCCCAGGTACAGACCTGGAAGGGGGGGAATTTCCTGAAGGGCTGAGTTTGGGCTCAGCTGGAAGCAGCGCTGGCCAGCAGGCAGCTGAAGGCAGCAGTGCCAAGCACAGTGCCAGCACACAGCTGCAGTCACACAGCACACGGCGTACAGCAAAGCAGCAGTGGCTGTGATAGTCACAGCTGTTGCTGAAGCAGAAAGGGCTTTACTAAACCAAGAAGTCCATCTGGAGAGAAGGGTTGGTGTTGCAATCAGAAAAATCAATGAGGTGGAAGGGCAATACAGGAGTGTAGTAGCAAAGGGACTAATGGAATGGTGTTACAAAGAAAAAGGAAAGTGCTCACCCATTCCTGTTCCTGCGGGTCTGGGCTCACGAGGAAAACTCCACCAGGGAGGGATCTCCAACCAGACATCCTTCCCCAGTGGCAGTCAGCCCTTAAATGAGGTCTAAGAGAGGTGCAGCCATGCTGCACCACTTCCTGTCTCACAGCTGAACTGCCTTCACCTGTGCTCCCAGGGCTGACCGGTCCTTTCCCCAGGTGCTCAATCAGTGGGTCAGGCCCTGACTCAACAGTTACCATACAGGTAGGGAAAAAGGAGGGACCAGATTTGGGTGAAGGCTGCTGAGGGCAGCGCTGTCAGCCCCACACCCACACAGCTGCAGCTGCCCAGGCCCAGCACAGCTCCGGGCACAGCTGGGGAGCCTCACCGCCCTCTGAAATACACAAACCATGTGCAGAAACTTTTCCTTTTATGGGAAGGAAACAACAATGCTAATATCCATAAATGCAGCACCACTGAGCTAACTCTGTCTGCTATGACAACCGCTGCCTATGACAACAGCCACCAAACTGCTCTGAACAGAGGGCGTGAAACCAAACGCAGCTGCACCGACCCCGAGTGCTGCAGGAGGAGCCGCTCCTGTTGGCACCGTGCTGCTCCATGCCGAGAATCATCCGCATCGGCTTTGTCTCGTGTAAGCAGCAAAGAGACCAACAAACGAACCTTCCCACAGCGTGGCTGGGGACCGCAGCAGCACCCCGAGCCCAGCACGGGCAGCGCTCCCCCAGAGCCACGCCGGGCCCCCAACGGGGCACTCAGAGTCTGCAGGGCGCAACGAAGAACCGAGACCGAAGTTACTCATTGCAGTCAGTGTTTATGTGTAGCAGCAGCACGAGGAACAGCGGGAGCTCGGGTTGCTAACAGGTGCGCCTACCGCTCAGCCGGCTCCCTAAGCAGCGATCGCGTCGTTATCTGACAGCGCTGAATAACCCACAGCCACCACGGAGCCCCGAACCCACGCAGCTCCGTCACACCTCCGCCCCGCAGCCCCGCTCACCTGCCGCCTCCCCAGCCGTACACCTCCCCGGCCGCTCCCAGCCCCACGACGTGTTCGTGTCCCAACGCCAACGCGCGGAGCCGCAGCGCTCCGGGCAGCGCCGCGTAGAAGGGCGGCCGCGGGGCCACGAAGCCGTCCGGCAGCAGCGGCAGCGCGGGGCGCGATCCCGGCGGCAGCGCTCGGCTCCACGCGGGCTCCCCCCGCAGCTCTCCCCGCAGCAGCGCCGCGCGGGGCCACGCCTCGACCGCCGCCCCCCGCAGCAGCACCGCGTGCGTCTCCGACGGCAGCGCCGCCTCGCAGTCCTCGGGCAGCGACCGCCGCCGCCCCGCGCTCAGCACCTCCAGCCCGGAGCCTGCGGGAGCGGCGGGGTCAGCGGTGCGGGGGGGTCCGAATCCCGCTGGGAACCGAGCGGCGCCGCGGAGGAGGCTCGGGGCCGGGGGGGCTCACCCGTCTCCAGCACCGCGTAGCTCCACGCGGGCCGCACGCGGCGGATGCCGTCGCCGCTCGGCTCCAGGCGGTGCCGCCCCGGCCCCGCGTCCCCCGCCGCCTCCTCGGCGCTGAGGCCGAACACGAACCAGAAGCGGCGCTGAACCGCCATGGCAGGGGGAGGCGGGCGGAAGGGAGCGGGCGGGGCCGAAGGGACGGGAGGCGGAGCCGTCGTTAAAGAGCAGCTTTAGTGCGCCGTGCGGGGCCGCAGCTCGGGTAAGGCACAGGCGGTGGCGCAGGCGGCGGTGCGGCTGCGGCCCCAGCGTTGCGGTGTGTCACCCGCCACAGGCGGAGTGCGGAGCCGAGCGGCCCCCGAGCAGCGCGGAGAGCCCGAAAGGGGCGGCATCACTGCTGGCGCGGGCTGGGCTCGATGAGGCCGTACGCCACAGCCCGCTCCAGGCTCTCCTGGGCCGCCTGCGCCACTCGGGGTTTGTCCTTGTCCTTGGCCAGCACCGACAGGATCTCCAGCATCTCGCTGGCGATGAGCTGCTCGGCCACCTCCCGCGCCGCCGCCATCATATTCATCACCACCACGGCCCCGCGGTGCTGCAGCTCGGCGCTGGGGCTCAGCAGCAGCGCCTGCAGGATCTCCAGCCAGTGCACCGTCTGTGGGCACGGCGTGACGCGCTCAGACAGCGGGACCCCCGCCCCGAGGCGTAGGGCAGAGGCCCCCCCGCGGGCAGCCCGGGGCACGGCCCCCACAGCTGCAGCTGCCCAGGGGGCGCACACAGGCAGCCCCTACACTCACCACCTGCGGGATCCTCTTGCAGACGGGGGGGTGCAGTGCTGTCAGCATGGCCAGCGTCCCCGAGGCCGCCCGCCGCAGCTTCTCGTCCTCCTCCCCGCTGTACAGAACCATCAGCTTCAGGCGGTCGCTGCCTTCGTCCAGGAACAGCTCCTGCACCTGTGGGCGAGGTGGGGGGCTCGCAGTGCAGTGCAGCACAGGGTGGGCTGCACGCCCTCGGCTGAGACGGCCCTCACCTCCTTGCTCATGGCCATGTTGCACATGCACTCAGTAGCAGCCAGGCGGATCAGCTCGTGCTCCTCAAACATGTATCCCTCGATCATGGGCACAGCCCTCTCCTTCAGGATCTTCTGCCTGTGGCAAGGCAGCAGTGAGCACCTCCCGCCCTGCGCTGTCCCCGGGCCCCCTCCTCCCAGCCAGAACAGCCCATCCCCTGCCCCACACCCATACCGCAGCCGCTCACTGATGCCAGCCAGGTTGGTCAGTGCCATCAGCCCCTCAAAGTTCTCCAGTCCTGAGCGCTGGAGGTGCAGCAGGCTGACGAGGGGCCGGACCACCTCGTAGATCTGTGGAAGACAGCAGCACAGGGCTCAAACCCTTCCCCTTACAGAGCAGGAGCTGAGCGCAGTAGAAAGACAGAGGAGCTCACACAACCAGGCCTAGGCAGTTAGGCCGCTATGGAGACCACTGTGCCTCCTCAGCCCAATGCCCTCCCCTGGCAGACACATGCCTATCTGCAACAGCAGCATCAGCAGCAAGGCTCCATCGCAGCCCCTTTCGCCTGCTGCTGCCCTGCAATACTCCGACCATCCCTTGGGCAAGTACATTCTCCAGCCCACAGCCGTGACACCGACCCGCTCTCCAGGGAATGCCATCTCAGGGTTGGAGGTGATGGTGATCTTTGCCAGGGCCTGAGCTGCCTTGGTCTGCCCTACTTCGGTGCCCTCCAGGGACAGCGGGATGAGAGCCTGCAGATGGAGATGTATCAGCCAGGTCACAGCAGCCTCAGCTGTCCCCAGGCTCATGTATAAGCTCCAGACCTCCCATAAAGCAGGCCAGGGGCACCATAGATACCATCAGCTCACCTTTCCTCCTCCCTGTGCGACCACACCACCTCGGTCCTCTGCCTCCGCCACCAGGGCCAAGAACACCCTGCAGACAGGGCAACAGTAGTTGGAACTGAGGACCTGCCATGCTGAGTCCCAGCACCACCCAGTGACTGACAGTGAGCCCAGGCAGTACTGGATGCCCACACCCCCTCCTGCTCCCAAAAGCCTGGGTTCACCAGAAGCACCAAGCCTGCAGGCAGGGCAAAACTTAAGGCAGCTCCCACCATGCCCTCCCCATACCTGGAGATCAGCTCCCGGCAGGAGTTAGTCAGTGCTGGGTTCTCACTCTTCACCACACAGGCCAGAGCAGACACCACACCAGCCGTCAGCAACTTCCGCACGCGTCGCTTCACAAAGTCTGGCTTGTCCTGTCCCGGAGCCAGGACCACCACTCACTTTGGAACCAGCACACAACTTGCCACTGCTGCTGATACCTGACCATGCTGCCACCTCCCCAAAGGCATCGAGGCGGTACCTTCAGACACCTCAATCCCACCCACACATTTTCCTGTGGGGCTGTGGGTCCCCACAGCTCCTGAGACCAGTCACCAGCCATGCTCCCTCACCTTGGGGTGCTGCTCTGGAATGTGTTGTTTGGCATACTTGGCCAGCTCCAGCATCTGTGGGTCTGGCTCCTCGTGGTTGTAGCTGTTGGTGCAGTTCACCAGCGTGGAAGCAACAGCATAGAGAACACTCCTATCTTCTGACTGCAATGGTAACCGAGCGCTGATTGCAGCCATGGCAGAGGACATACGTGGGCTTGAGCCCAGTCAGCAGCACCAGGCCTCTCCACACACCACAGCCACAGCCCCACAACTCTCTCCAGCAGGAGGGGCAGGTGGGCATGTTCCTCCAGCACCAGCATTCCCCCAACCCAGGACCCCGGCCATAGTGCTCAGCACTCACCTTTGTCAGCTGAAACATGGCCTGCATTGCTGCCTTGTCCTCTACAAACTCCTCCTTGACGTCAGCATCAAATGTGAGGTAAGCCAGGCCCTCCACAGCCCAGCGCCGTGTGCCGGCATCAATTGCCTCATTGCACAGCCACCTGCAAGATGGCCCCCCGTCAGTCCTTGCTGCAGACACCCACCCAGCTCCTGCTCCCATCACACCCACAGTTCTCAGCACTCACTTGCGGCACTGCTTGGCTAATTTCATCGTGGAGCCCTCAGCAAACTGCTTCATGCTGAAGTCAGTGCCTCCAGCAGATCCCAGCTTGCACAGTCCCTGTGGCCAGAAGCAGAGTGTCAGAGCAGGAAAGGCCGTGATGTCCCAGACACACCTGTAAGAGCCCCCAACCAGTAACAAGATGGCAGCAAAGCCCAGCCCCACCCAACAGCTCGGTGCAGCCGCTCCTCCTGCCCCGCTGTGCTCACCACCAGTGCACGGATGCGGATGCTGTCCCTCTCACTGTGCTTGTAGATCTCCTTGAGCAGGCTGACCCCATTGGCAGTGATGAAGGAGGCACGCTTGGCCTTGTCAGCTGCGTGGATCAGAGCCTCCACTGCTACCAGCTGGTGGGCCTCGCGGACGGAAGCACAGAGGGACAGTATGCTGTCCATGATCCCTTCCAGCTCCAGCACCCTGTTCCCAGCTTCCGAGGGGCCCTGCAGCAGGCACGACACTGTCTGGATGGCCCGCAGCTTCCCAGCCAGCTCCTGCCCCTCGAACCAGCTCCTGCAGTGGAAGAACATTCAGAAGGACAAGGCTGATCCCGAACACTGCCTCCAGCCCCTTGCAGCCCTGCCCTGATAGACCCCAAGCTCTGCAGGTCTCTGGTGGTCTGCACTCTACTTTCTGCAGTAAAAGCTAGAAGTCCAGAAATAGGAGTGCTGTGACTTACAGTGGAGACAGAAACAGCAGCAAAAAGCTCCCGACTGAGAAGGACTCAGTCCTATGCAGCCCCAGGGAATCCCAGGCTCACCTCACGTAGTCCTCACACAGGTGGTGGAAGTTCTCCCTCTCAGCATCGCATTTCAGGTCATCATAAAGCTTACTCAGAAGGACCGAGGCGCTCATCCGGCTGTTCTCTGTCACGGGCAGGCTGCCCGGAGCCCCACACACAGTGCTTCCCACCTCCAGGATCTTCTTCAGGCCTAGGAGCACCTAGAGCTCAGGTGCCTGATGAGGCACAAAGAGGGGTGCGCAGGTGCCTTGCAGAACCAAAGCACGCAGCACCACGAGGCACAGGGGAGTGGTGCCCCAGTGAGATGCTGCGGCCTGTTTCACTCACCCTGGTCGATCACCCAGAGGCTCATGCTGTTGTTGATATCCTTTGGTGACTTCCTGGGTACCACCTTGATGAGCAAGTTAAGGGCATTGTCGCGGCCATGAGCAGAGGCTCCTTCCAGAGATAGCAGCTCCAGGAGGTCCTTGATCAGCACTTTCTGTTCTTTGGAGGAATCTTCCAGGAGAGACAGTGCCAGCAGTCAGTGCCCTGCACACAGGCCTCACCCCATCACAGTAAGGCTGGCAAGTCACGCTGTCAGGACACGGGGCTCCTGATCCCCATCTCAAGGTCATATTTATCCAGGCCCAGTGGAAGGGAGCTGCAGCAATGTAAGCAGCAGGACAAAGCTCCCTTAGTCCTACCTGCACCACATCAGCTAGCTGGGGCAGCAGGCACTCACCCAGCACCACTGCATCCTCCTTGCCACGGAAGTCCTTCTGCATCCCCTCCTTCAGAGAATCGAACATCACATGCAAGAGATTGCAGGCAGCCAAAGAAACCTGCTCATGCTCCACACCCAGCACTGCTGAAAGACGCGAGGACCCCAGCTCTGTCAAGATGGCCATGGACTGTAGGTGGAAGCAGAGGCATTTTCTGGAGATTGGGGAAACTCTGGCACTCCCCAGCACCTTATCATCTGTTACAGCTCAAGCCTGGCAAGTAACAAATCAAAGCTCCACCACTCAGCAGGGCTGTGGCCTGACACAGGCAGCAATGTTCCCTGGCCTGACAAACTTCACAGCCTTCCCAGTATGGACATCCCCTGCTCCAGGACTCCTCACACAGAGAGCTGGGCTCTGGTGTAACCTACCCGGGAACGGTGCCCAGAGCACAGCCCCACCAGGGTGCGCAGGGCCGCCAGCATCAAGTCAGCCTTGGCTGTGTCAAGCAGCTGCGTCAGGAGCCGCACACCATCGCTCTGGAATATTTTCTCTGCTCCAGCCTCTTCTCGTGCCAGTACAATCAGGTTCTGCGCAGCCTGCAAAAGGAGAGGTGCATTTGGGTCACCAGCCCACCAGAACAGAGCTCCCTGCACACAGGGAACTCACCAGCAGGGAGCCCACAGGGCAGCCAAAGCAGCCACAAGCACCCAATCACCACTCCCAGTCTCCAAGGATGGCATTCTGCTGGCAGGAAGCCCAACCTCCATAGGACAGAAAAGTTCAGCCAGCAGCGCTGACCTGAGAGTACAGTTCTTTCCACCCAAGCCACCTTGTGTGTCCTGGAGTTCAGACCTTTTGCTTCTTGTCCACATCCTTTTCTTGGGGATCCAGCAAAATCTGAAACATCTGTTCCACCTTCGAGTCCGTACAGGACATGGTCTTCATCTGAGACAGATTGGGAAGAGCAGCTCAGCCCTTGCTGCTCCCTTGAATCTACTGCACCCAGAGGGAACACAGCAGCCTTCACACCATCCATTCCTCACCTTCTCATGCATGCTGCTACCCAAGGCACGCAGGGCCTCCTGGAAGGCCTTGTTCTTGGGCTCCAGGCTCACACATCTCTGCAGATCGCTGACAGCCTGGTCCAAACGGCCCAACTTCTGCAGTGCCTGACTCCGACGAAACAGTGCCTTCATGTCCCGGCCATCGGCTTCAATGGCTGCAGAGGAGTGAAGGAGCTGTCACAGAGCCCTCGCACTGCTCCAGCCCGCCCCAGTGAGCAGCACGTGAAAGGTGGTCCCCAGCCACACCTGACAGTACCTTTAGATGCATCTGCCTCTGCCTTGGCATAATCCTCCTACAAAAAGAGTCAGTGAAATCTCGGCACATTGCCCATGGCGGCTGCACTCAGCCCCACCTGCTGTGCCCACTGCTTCGGAAAGGAGCAAGGAAACAGCCACGGAGTTTAGGGATGGAAACAACGCCACGGACGACTGGAAAGCAGCACAGCGGTGTGCCCCGTCCCTCCCAGAGCACAGCCCACGCAGGGTCCCCAGGGGTCCCTATCGCCTCGACACTTCTTGAGCCCCTACCCGAGCCCCTGCACCGCACTCTGCCCCACAGGCAGCTCCTCGACAGGAAACCAGAGATCCGGGGCTGCCCGAGGAGCAGACCCAGGGTCCCCGCAGCCCCTGACACAAACAGCAGCTCGCTGTGGGCAGAACATCAGCCACCAGCAGGGCCGGGAGAAAAGAGGCGCAGAGGGAAGATGGCCCGTCCCGGAGACCGCCGGGCAGCGCTGCACGGAGCCGAGCCCCCCCGCCCCGCAGGCAGCTCCCCGCCCTCCCGCTCTCACCAGTTTCAGGTAACACGCGGCGCGGTTGCGGTGCAGCACGGCGCGCTCCGGCTCGGCCTGGCAGAGGCTCAGCGCCCGCGTGTAGGCGGCGAGGGCCGCGCCGTGATCCCCGGCCTGGAACAGTGCGTTGCCGCGCTCCCGGAGCTGCCCCGCCGTCACCTGCCGAGGCACCGGACGGCATAAGGCAGAGTCCGAGGCCCGGCCGGAGCCCGACGAGGCCCCCCGGCGGCCCCGTTCCCCCGCGCGGCCCGGCGCTCCCCCACCTCCTCCTCCATCTCGCCGCTCTCGCCACTCCCGTGACGTCACCGCCCATCGCCGGAGGAACCCGCACGGCGACTCCGCGTCACGTGACCGAGGGCGTCGGCGGAGGTGTGGCGAGGGAGGGCCTGCAGCGCCCCCCTACGGCCCGGCGGTGCAGTCGCCGGCCACGTGCGGCCTCCCCCCCATGACCCCGCGCGCGACCTGCCGTGACCCCGCGCGCCTCTCCGTGCCCCCCACTCCCGAGAGGCCCACGTGTGCCCCCACCCCGCTGCCCCCCCCCGGTCCCCCCATCCCCTCGTCCCCCCCTCCCTCCCTGCGCCCCTTTTCTGCCCTCCCCCACCCCGCATTGGGCACCGGGACCCTACGCCGCCCCGCCGGCAGCGCGTGGTGCCGCGGGGCGGGGGGAGCGGCAGGGCGGGCAGCGGGCACGGGGCAGGCGGCGGCCGAGGGCGCAGCGCCGGGCGCGGTAGAAGCGGGCGAGGTCCAGGGCCATGAGGAGCAGCACGAGCAGCCCGTAGAGCCCCACGAAGGGCAGCGCCAGGGGGTGCCTGCGGGGCGGGGGCGATCAGCGCCGGGCGCTCCTCGGTGCCACCGCCCCGCAGCCCCGTCACCGCAGCCCCGCTCACCGCAGCAGGCCGGGCGCGGGCAGCTCGCTGATGTTGAGCCCGGTGAGCGCCTCCACGCCCAGCCGTGAGCAGCAGCCCTTGAGGGCGCGCGGGCCGGGCCGGCAGCAGTAGCGGTGCGTGGCCGGGTCCGTCAGGCGCGGGCAGTAGAAGCCGGGGTGGTAGCGGCCGTCAGGGCCCACGTAGCCCTCGCACAGGTGCAGGTTCTGCAGTGAGGCTGCGGTGGCAGCAGCGGGGCCGGGGTCACGGCACCTGTGTGCGCTCACGCGGCAGGGGGCAGCCCCGGCCCCGCTCCGGTTCCCCCAGCTCTTTCCACCCCGCGTGTGGCCCGGGACCAGCCTCTGCACGAGGTCGCGGGTGCCCCGGGCGCCGACCGTCCTCCCCCGGCCCTGACCGGCACCAACCCTGGCAATTCTGTGATTCTGTGATGGGGAGCACCCAGGAGATGCAGCCCAGGAGCAAGGCGGGGGATGAGCGGCTCCTGCGCCCACCTCGCGAGGCGGGCAAAAGGCCATACCTGTCCCAAAGATGCCAGGAGCTGCAGCGAGGAGCAGGAGCCCACCCAGCATCTTCCCTGCCATACTGGGGCGAGGCAGCTGAGGCAGAAACCGCAGCCCTTCCTGCGCCCGCCTCCAGCGCGGCCCATCAGGAGCCTCGCAACCATTAGAGCCTGCACTTAGTGCCCTGCTCCACAGGGACGGTGGGCAGGAGGCGGGAGCATCGCTAATGAGCTTCTTAGGGCTGTGCAAGGGGCCGCGGGCACCGTGCCCACCCTGCAGCGGGACACAGAGTCCGATCCGTGCCTGTCAGGCACTTGGCCCTGCTGGGCTCCCGGTGTCACGGCTGAGGGCTGCGGGCTGGGCAGTGCTGCAGGGCGGTGGGCACGCTGTGCCACAGCCTCAGGCAGCAGGGCAGCCTACCCCCGGGTCCCCGCCAGCCGTGCCGCTAGCTGGGCTCTGACAGAGCTGCTGCTGGGTGCCCGTGGATGGGCAGGACCAGCCTCCTGGCATCACCCCAGCTGCACCCCGTGGCCAGAGCCCTAAGCTGTGTGCCCAATAGCCCCTCATCCTGTGGCTCTGCACCCCATGCAGGTCATGTACTGAGTGGTGTGGTGCAAAATGAGGAGCTCAGCCAGCACCAGCTCCTTGCCCGGCCTTCCTTGAGGGCACCACAGCCCTCCCCACCAGCACCCCGGCAATAATAATCAGCCCCAGAGGGGGCACAGCATGCAGCATCCACAGCAACGGCACACAGTGCAGCTTACTGCAGCCTCAGAGGCCCCATGGAACAGGTGGGTTTGGCACTGCCACCGGTATGCAGGAGCAAGGCCTGGCCCCCTCCCCACAGAGCACCGCTTCCACTCACCAGCCCCACTGGTGTGAGAAGCACAGACCAGACGCAGGCCAGGGTTCTTGGAAACAGACTCATATTTCCTACAAGCTCCAGGTGAGCTCAGGTTCCAGTCCACAGCGCCTGCCTGGCTCCTGGTACCTGCGTGTTGCTGTGCTGTGGTAGCCAGGCTCCAGGTGGGCACCATCCAGGCAGCTGTGCAAACACAGCAGAGTAGAGTCCATCATGCTGACCCACTGTCACCCTTCTCCTCTCATAGTAGTGCCCAGCCCATGCCCTCTGTGCCCAGAATCCAGTAGCCTCTGTGCAGCCCTGCCACAGCAGTTCATTGAAATCTATCTGAGAACACAGAACTAATAAATAAGAAGGCAGTAGCCTTTGCAGGTCTGGCACCTCCTGCTGAGCACCAATCGCCTGCTGTGGGCCGTGTAGCTAGGTCTCTGTGGGCTGTGCTGGCACTGCTGCTCCCACGCCGTGCAGCCACTCTGCTCCCATCCCACTCTGACAGGCACTACCCCAAGCGGATGCGGAAAGTGGCAATTTCCATGGGATGCAGCTGGATGTTGGTGCTGTTGGAGGCTGTGCCCAGCGGGTACATCAGGGTCAGCGACGTGGGCTGCAGGGAGCCCAGCTCCAGCCCCTGGAACAGGCTGCCCAGTGCCAGCTACGGAGAGACGAGTGGAGTGCTGATGATAAGCAGGATGGGGAAGCCCCACACCATGCCTACCAGCGGCTGCCCATCCCCTCAGCACCCAGGGCACCATGTTGACCCTGCCCAGGCTCTGCCCTTCCTCATTGCAGAATGTAGTGCCCATACAAGGCTCCAGACCCCTGCTGTGCATCCTGCAGTTCTGCTTGGGCAAGGGGCAGAGCTGGTTGGGTGCTGCAGCGTGGGACCTCTGAACAGCCACCAGTTCTGGGATGTTGGTGCTAAGGGTCTGAAGGCCTCTCCTGCCCCTATCCTGGCTTGGCTAGAGAACAGCATGCTTGCAGCAAGCACAGCAGAGCACCCCAGAGCATCTCCTACCTGGCCCTGGCTGGTGGTGCAGTTAAATCCCAGATTCTTGGCCTCCAGACTGCAGTCAAAGCCTTTGCGGTGCAGAATCAGGGCCGCCTCTGCCGAGGGCAGCGAGTCGTCCTGCAGGAGCAGGGAAAAGGCACGACACTGGGCAGCAACGCCCCGAGGGTCACCCGTCCTCACGCAGCACAGGGCCACGACTCACCTCTGCCTGCAGCGTCCGCAGGTTGAGGATGTGGAAGTCGCAGGGGAGGGTTGTGGAGAGGGATGCGAAGGAGCGCAGGGCTGGCAGGGCTGGCTGCTGAGCCACCGGCAGGACCAGGGCCTCGGCATTCAGATGCATGGAGGTGAGGTGGCTCAGCAGCGAGGGGAAGCTGACCGGGCGGCCGTCCTGTACCTGAAAGAAGCAAAGTCAGCACTGGCAGGGCGGCTGCAGCGCCGGGGCCGCGGGGCCTCCAGCTCCTTCGAGAACTGGCACCAGGCACCCAGACCCCCCGCCATGCACAGCCTCTCCCTCCTCGTCACCCAAATGGCCGCACACCGTGCAGCCTGATGGTCGGACTACGGACCGCTATGGGCCTGGCTAGGCTAGTGGCTAGCAGCTAGTGCACGAGACTGGGAGCAACGGCGAGGCCGGGCCGGCCGTTACCTTGCCGGTCCTGGCGCCAGGGAAGCCCAAGGCTTTAAGCACGGAAGCCAGTTTGGAAAAGAAGCCGGAGCTCTGAACGGGTGAAAGGGTGCAAGGATGGAGAGCAACGAGGTACAGGATGAGAACACCATGATGAGCAGTGTGATGACAGCATGCCCCCGCAGCAGGACAGCCATCCCACCCCCGCCCCCAGCTCACACCCTGGGCACGGCCCCATCCCCTGCAGCCATCCACACGCTGGTGCCCATGAGTTCCACACCACCATGGGCTCTGAGCGACACTGCCCAACTCCACACCCTGCCCATGCACCTTGTTGGCACTGCTGCGGCGCTCCAGGAGGAGGCGGAACCGGTTGCAGGTCCGCTTGTTGTCTTTCAGCCCTTGGCCCAGGCCTCGGTTGTCATCCTGCATGAGGCGCCGGTCCAGGATCACCTCCAGCTGGCCTGCAAAGCCATGCTCCGGCTCAGCACCGGCCGGCCACCCTGGCCGGCCCCAGTAACCCCACAGCCCTGCCTCACCACTGCCCAGGCTGGAGACCCCCAGGGCCTGGGCTGTGTGCAGCGTCAGGCGGCTCTGCATGTCCTGGATGTAGGCCATGGTGGGCATGGGGTAGAAGTTGGCCTGCAGCGGCAGCTTCTGCTGGTACCTGCGGGGCTGGATCTGCCGAGGGATGGGGTCAGGGGGCTCAGCAGCAGAGCACCGTCCCCGTGGGCAACTCCATCCCTCCCCAGCCTGCTGGCACACCTGGAAGCCGTTGAGGTCAGTGAAGAAGGTGTCGTCGCTCTCGATGTTGGTGCTGAAGCGCATGGCCAGCTCCTTGTTGACATGGTCACGGATGTCCACCAGGCATGACACGTCCAGGGACAGCCCCTCCACCCCTGCGGGCAGCAGTGAGGGTGGGCCCCGTGGGCAGAATCACCCCATGCCCCAGACCTCCTTGCACAGCCCCACATCATCTCACCTGGCACATTGTAGAGTCGCACCACGGTCTGGACATGCTGGTAGTAACTGGAGACCTCAGAGAAGAGCGGACCTTCCGTCACTCGCACAATGGGGGGGTCCTTGGGGGTGTAGGGCTGTGGGGAAGGAGGGCTGTGCTGAGTCTGCTGCTCCAGGATTATCTCACAGCTGTGGGCACAACTGCCAGCCACGCTCCCCAGGGAGCTCCATACCTTGGCCTCGCCATCAGGCAGGAAGAGATAGGCTCCGCTTTTGTCCTTGGAAGTCCGGGTGCCGTAGATGAAGAACTCAGTGCTCACCCGCTGCTCCCGCTCCTCCCCAGCGCAGCGGAGGCTCTGCAGGATGAAGGTGGCACGGCAATGAGCTGCCCTCACATGAGGCAGCGCTGAGGCACCCACCCTCTTTCAATCCCTGGACCTGCACCCACCTGCAGCAGGCCTGAGCTCCCCGAGAAGCAGCTACGCAGGTGCTGGCTCTCCAGGCAGAAGTCATCAGGGGCGGCCGGGAAGACCTGCACGGGGACAGCCTCCTGCTTGCGCACAGTCACGTCCCGGCCGTGCAGGTACAGACGCACAGAGGACTGCGGCGTGGTGTGGCCGTCAAAGGACTTCTGTAGCTGCAGCACACGCAGCCCCAGCGCAGGCAGGCGGGCGAGGATGGAGAGCTGCGGGCAGCAGGAGCCCTGAGCCAGCAGCTCCACGGAGGGCACTCGAGTGCTGCTGCTGGCAGGGCAGAGCCCATGGCAGCAGTGGGCAGCAGGGCACCCCCTACCTGGTAGACATCAGGCACTGCATCGGTGGCAGAGCTCCAGTGTGCAGAGAGCTGGGCAGGCAGCGGCTGCCCATCCTCAGACAGCACACGCACGTGTGGAGAGCTCACCAGCAGAGGCACCAGGCTCAGGCGTTCCTGCTCCAGTGGGTTGAACACCACCAGGAATCTGTGGGATGGGGTTGCACGGGGATGGCCACACTCAGCTCATGGCATCCCATGTGCCCCATGCTCTGCAGCACCCAGCAGTGCCATACGCTCATAAACCCCAACCATAAGACCCAACTTCAGGCAGCAGGACTCAGCCCTACCGTGGCGAGGCATCCAGTTTGACAACCGTTCTTTCCGGGAGTGAGTCCTGATTGAGGCGTGTGCCATCCTGAGGAGAGGTGTGAGTCAGAACCAGGGTGTCCCTATGAGCCCAGACTGGCTCAGGGATGTGACACCTCCCCAGAGCCCCCAGCCCTCATCTGGCAGGTAGCGCAGCTCACCGCACTGAGGAAAGGTGTTGCAGGGTCATAGCGGTACGTGTCCTTGTCTCCCAGCACCAGGTAATGTGCAGCATTGATGATTACACGCTTTAGGTTGGTGAGGGAATGCAGCAGCCTGGGGCACAGCACTGTGCAGAGTGAGCCACAACCCGCGGGCCCTCATACCCATACCCACGCCCAGCCCCAGGCCCACTGTCTCCTGCCCAAGACAGACCCTGGGGCCATGCCCTGCCACCCGCACGCACCGCACTCCATAGTCAACCACCACGGCCTCCTTGGCGGTGCCGGTGATGGCATCGTGGTGCTGGAAGAGCCCCAGGTTGCGGCGGGCGCTGCTCAGTAGGCTGTAGTCGGACAGTGGATAGCGGCTGTCAGCGCCAGCGTGGCGAGCGTGGGCCAATGCCAGGCTGAACAGGAGCTCTGCCCCCCTGTGCAGAGACAGTGTCACCCCCAGCCCTGCCCTGGTACCAGCTCCCCCCCGACCCGCTGTGACCCCTCACCGGAGGTGTGCCTCCAGCACGCGGTCCAGACTCTTGTAGAAGGGCCGGGAGGTGTAGTAGCCAGTCCAGTAGTGGTCCTCCCGGTCCGCGTAGGAGAAGAAATCCCCACTCAGCACGGGGAATCCGGGCGGCCTCATCCCCGGCACAATGCCCGCCTTCTTGTACAGGGCATCAAAGTAGTCAGACAGCGTCCCAAACTGCGCCTGCGGGACGGCACGCAGCTCTGAGCGTGATGCAGAGCTGCGGGGGATCCTCCCACTGCCCACCCCCCCTGCATTCCCCACCACATTGCTCCCCAGCGCTGCTCCCTGGGCCGCCCGGCCCTCCTGCACCTGCCTGCACGTGGAGCTGGGGCTGGGCGTTGAGGAAGTCAAAGATGCGCTGGTAGTTGAGGAACTGAGCGTCCCACTCCTGCGGTTTGTCATAGCGGAAATCGTCTCCCAGGGGCACCAGCAGCACTTTGCTGCGGTACAGCTTGGACTTCTTGCGGTACTGGTCCAGCAGGAGCTGAGCTCTGCCGTGGGGTCAGGGCATGAGGCTGGCTGCCGGCAGGAGGTGCTGCTCAGCGCTGCTCAGCCCTGCATTCACAGCACTCACCGCTCCGCCACGTTGGCCTCAGTGATGGCGCGGGGCGGCACCTTCCAGGGACAGTTGATGCGGCCGCCTGGTAGGCGCTTAAAGTCGAACTGGCAGCAGATTTTGGGGTCTGGCCCGCAGGTGTGGGGCACATCATAGCTGTAGAACGGCATCATGTGGCAGAAGATGTCAGTGCTGGAGTCGGGGTCTGCAGGACCAAGGGCAGACAAGCATCAGCAATGGCTCTCCCTCTGCTGTCTCCCAGCAGAGGACCCAGAACACACGGAGTCTGTGGGGGCACAGCAGATGTGGCACACAAGATCTGCCGGTGGCTCATTCAGGTGTCACCACGGGGCTGTTCCGCAGAGCAAAACCACTGAGTAGCAGAGCCTCTGCTGCCCTGCACTCCACTCCCCAGCCCCGTGGGACAGCGGTCAGCAGCTTTTCCCAGCTGCGACCACTCCTGCAGGTCCCCCTCCCACGGCCACCTCCCCAGCAGCCCCTCACCCCATGTCTGTCTCCACATGAACTCCAGGTTCTGGGTGGCAGCAAAGTGCTTCTTGATGGCATAGTGCACGCGCTGGATGACCATGCCTGTCAGGTTGGAGCGCTTCAACAGGTACGGCATGGTGGAGCTGTACCCAAAGGGGTCGACAGCCCAGCCCGAGCGCGGTGTCACACCTAGGGAACAGGGACCATCAGCACCCCTCATGGACAGTTCCCCCCAGCACCCCACTCCTCCGGTCCTGCATCCTGCTCAGCTCTCACCAATGTTCTTCTCCAGCCACTGGTGCCCCTCAATTAGCTGGTCGATCATGGCAAAGTAGTGGGAATTCGCCTCGTCGGGCATCACCCAGCCACCCGTCACCATCTCCAGCTGCCCATTTCCCACCAGCCTGCAAAGGACACCCAGGGACACGGTCAGCACTGCAGTGAGCCATGGCAGAGCCCTCCTCTGGGCACGGACAGGGAGTGTGGGCCCTACCTCCTCACTGCAGCCCGCTTCTGGGCACTGATGTTATCCCACCACTTGGAGAAGAAGGAGATCTCAGACCAGATGAAGCGTCGGCGGGGGTCCTCCTGCATCTTCAACACCATGCTGTTGAGGATGTGCTGCGTCTGGTCATAGTAGTACTTGTCAAAGGTCTTGATCCAGCCTGCCAGCACAAGGGGGTGATCACAGGGGCTTATCAGGCATGGCAGGAGCTGGGACGGCTCCTCCCCTCCGTCCGCTTTCGCCCCACTTCTCACCGGGGTCATTGTGGGAGTGCGGCACCACGAACACCTGCAGGGGCTCAGTGTCCCACTCGTTGGGCTCGTAGGTGATGTCGAAGCCCTGCTTCCAAACACCGCCGTCCTGGTTGTCGAATGGCAGCAGGGAGTAAACGGCCAGCATCTGCCGGGGAAGAGAGCTCAGGATGGACCACAGCCCCCCAGCGGCGCGCAGCCGCCGGGCTCCTCTCTCCCCGCACGGAGCGCTGCGGAGCCCTCCCAAGGCCCTCACCTGCAGGTCGGGGCCCTCGCCTTTGGCCCCCAGGGCAAACTGGCAGTCCTGCGGGGACACGGCGAGGAAGCTGGGGCGGCTCTCGGGGGGCAGCGCCCAGGAGCCGTTGTCGCGACGGGGCGGTGCGGGCTGCCCGTCGGCGTGCGCCGTCAGCTCCAGCACCGAGTCCTTGATGTGGCTGATGATCTCGTGGTTCTCCTCCAGCAGCTGCTCCAGCTGCTCGATGCGGTTCTGCAGCACCGAGATCTGGCTCTGGGGACGCGGGCGCTGCGGTCAGCGCGGTGCTTTGCCCCGGGGCTCCCGGCCCGCACGATCCCCGCAGCGGCGGAGCCCCGACCCGCGCGATCCCCGCGCGATCCCCGCCCGCCCCGCAGCCGCTCACCCGGGGGAAGTTCCCCCCGCTCTGGTGGCGCGCGGGGTCGTGCTGCACGCGGTCCAGCATCAGGTAGAGGGAGAAGACGGCCACGCAGAAGATGGCAGCTCCACACACTGTCACCTGCTTCTTCAGCTTCATCCCGCAGCGCCGCGGGGCACACCTGGTGCGGGCGGAGGGCGCAGGGGCAGCCCCAGCTCCGGACGCGTCCGCCGCGCCGTACCCGCGGCCCCGCCCGCCGGGACCCCCCGGTGCCGCCACCCCCTCCCCCGCCCGTGCCCTTTGCGTCCCGCTCAGTCTGATCCGGGGTATTTATAGCGGCTGACGCCGCGCCGAAGGCAGAACGCGGCCCCCGTTCAGGGCCGGCCCTCAGCCGCGGTGGGGGGGACGGGGAGCGGGGGGAGCCGGGGGCTGCGCCGGGGGAGCCGGGGGGTCGGGGGGGCCGGGGCCGTGCGGCCCGCAGCAGGGCCGGGGCCGGGAGAGGGGGCGGGCGGAGCGGGAGTCCCGCAGCCCCGGCGCGGGGACGGAGCGGAAGGGCGGGGGGCGGCCCGCGGGGGGCCGTGCCGGGCCGGAGCCGTGCGGCGCGGTTCCCCCCCTCCGCCCCGCGCTTACCCTGCGCGGCTCCGCGGCCCGGCCCCGTCCTCACATCCCGCCCGGCCTCCGCCGGCTGCCGCGGCCGCGATGGGCCAAACCCCGCCCGCCGCTCCGCCCACCCGCCCGCCGGGACGCGGCGCTGCGGCCCCGACGGCACCGGAGCTCGGGGCGGAGCGGTGGCACCGAGCCCGGATCGCGCCGCACGGCGCGAGCCCACGACAGACGCGGCGCTGCAGAGCCGGCTTTTATTCCGCAGGAACGCGCCGCGGCCCTCCGCGCCTCCGGCCCCGCGCCCGGGCGGGCGCAGCCGCTCAGCGGTGCCGTTTGCGGATGGCGATGAGGTCCTGGTGGACGGCGCCGAAGGTCGGCCGCCTGCGGGGGTCGTACTCCCAGCAGCGCTGCATCAGGTGGTACACGTCCTCGGGGCACTGCTCGGGGGGCTCCAGCCGCACGCCTGTGGGCGGCAGGGATGGACGGGGCGGACGGACGGTGGCCCCGGTCCCGCGGTCCCGTCGGGAACGGCTCGAGGTCCCCCGGCCGCGCTCCCCGCTCACCCTGCTCGATGGCCTCGCGCGTCTGCTGGTTGCTGAGGTTGGCGTAGGGCACGGCGCCCAGGCTGAAGGCCTCCCACAGCAGGATCCCGAAGCTCCACACGTCGCTCTCCGAGCTGTACCGACCTGGGGATGCGGTGGGCAGTGGGGGACGATGACACCGCCGCCCGGTGGGAGCCCCTCTCCCGGCCACCCGCCCCGAGGGGATGCAGGATGCTGCTGCCCAAACTCCGGCATTCCACAGCATAGCACAGCCTGCCTGCTTCTCTCCCCGGTGCTGCAAAGGTCCCGGGTTATGCCCATGCCACCCCATACCGTAATTCAGAGCTTCAGGGGCAGTCCACTTCACGGGGATCTGCTTCATGCCCCCCGTGGAGGCATAGATACCATCCTCCTCCTGCCGTGACATCCCGAAATCGCTGATTTTCAGGGTGTTCTTCTCTGTCACCAGGCAGTTGCGGGCAGCCAGGTCCCTGGGGGCCTCAAGGCCATCAGCTGTGCACCCATTAATGGGGTCCCAGCTCCTGTGCCCCCAGCCCACCTGTGGATGCAGTGCTTGCTCTCCAGGTACGCCATGCCTGCCGCAGCATTCTCCGTCATCTTGATCAGCTCCCTCACCTTCAGGTGGGGCCCCTCGCTGCGCAGGAAGCTCAGGAAATCCCCTCCTGCAACGCAGAGCGTGGAGCTGCTGGGCGGCTGCTGCGGTGCACTGAGCAAGGTAGTGTGCTGGGCTGAGCTCACACACACAGCAGGGCTGCAGAGGCCGCAGGACTCACCCTGCACCAGCTCCATGACAATGTAAATGGGCTGCTTCTGGGTGCAGACGCCGATGAGCCGGACGATGTTGGGATGGTTGTACTGCTTGAGGATCCTGCGGGGACAACAAACGGCACTGCGAGCAGGTGGGGGCCCATCTGCCCCCAGCACAGCTGCCTGTGGGCTGTCCCAGGGACTCTGCCCAGCCGGCACTCGGCTACAACGGTGCTGCATCCCAGTGGGTTTGAGCAGCCCCGAGTCCTTAGGGCTCACAGATGGGCCGGGACAGTGACAGCCACACAGACCTGGCTTCTTGCAGGAACTTGGCCTTCAGCTCGGGCGGCAGGGTTTCCCGGCAGGATTTCACCGCCACAGGGGTGTTGTCAGCACGCAGGCGGCCGCTGAACACCTCCCCAAAGTTCCCCTGCCGAGAGACACGGAGGTGTTGGCCGAGTTGCCAATGGGCTCCCACAGCTGTAGTGCTGCCAGGACCAGCACCCAACTCACCCGGCCAATGCGCTCCCCCAGCAGCACGTCCTCATGGTTGAGCACCCACTTGTCCTGTGGGCAGCAGACCCGAGGTTGGTGAGCAGCCCCCAGCTCCAGCAGCATTTCCCCCTGCCCTGCAGCTCCCCCTCATTTGGAGATGTCACGCAGGCGGATGGAGGCAGCTGCTGGGGCTGTGCTCTGCACAGGGCTCTGCCGCCTCCCGCTGCCCACCCTCACCTTGAGCACAGCTCTGGTCAGGATGATGCCACTCTTGCGGGTGATGGGCTGCTGGCTCTGCAGCAGGTGGTCGATGAGCAGCGGGATGGTGGGAAAGCCATCACCCTCCAGCCTGTACAGGTTCTGCAGGGAGGGAAGGCTGCGGGGTCACCTCCGTGTGCCCATGTGGTAGATTGCACACATGTTGTGTGGGCTGCACGCATGATGTTGCACACTTGCACATGGCACAAGCTTTTGTTCATATGTGCAACGCAGGCTCACACTCTACGCTCCAGGTTTGGTCCATGCAAGGACACACACAGTCACAGCCACACACGCACTGACACCAGGGTGACTCCCTGTGGCTGCACATCCAGGGCAGAGCTCCAGCACCTGCCCACTGCCAGGCCTCCCCCGGTGCCACGGTCACTCACATCAGCAGCCTGGATGATGAAGTGCCGGGGCTGCCCGTCCCACAGCACACTGAGCACATACTCCTGCTTCCCCTGGCTCTCCCGCACCAGGAAGTCCCCGCTGCAGCTCAGCAGCTCCTGCACCTCTGAGCGTGGGATGGCCCCGTGGTACCAGGCCTGCTGGCACAGCGGCTTCTGCACCTCCGGGATGAGGGGCACAGGAGGCGGCAGCTGGGTGAAGATGAGATGAATCCAGCTGTGCCCCTGGGTCCTGCAGCAGTGCAGGGGGAAGGGGCAGCAGGGCAGAGGGGCTGCTGCGGTGTGGGGAGCGGGGCTGGACAGCGTTGGAAGCAGGGCTGCAGGGCAGGAGAGGAGGGGCAGTGGGTGCCAAGGGACTGAGAGGCTCATCAGAGCAGGGTCAGAGTGGCTGCAGTTGCCCAGGGCCTCACCGAGAACCTGGAACCGAAGATGCCTGAGATGTGGTTCTTGATGGTCTCCAGGGCAGTCACCCCACTGCGCTCCTGATCCTGGGGGAAAACATGCTCTGTCTCCCAGAGGGACACTGTGTGGAGCCACTGGAGCCCAGCAGGCCCCAGCCCTGTGGTTCTGGTGGCCGTGAGTGGGACTCACCGTGGAGGACACTGACTGCTGGTCTTCCTGCAGGGGCAAGGCGGGAGGGGGCTCCCCTGAGCCCAGCTCTGCCAGCTTGTTGGCCAGCATATCCCGCTGTGCCTGCAGCTTGGCCTGGGCACAGAGGCAGCCCTGCAGCTGCTGCTGGGCCTCCTGCAGCCCTTGCCTCTTGCCCAGCAAGTGCACCCTGGGGATGGGACGTAGCAGGCTTATCTCCTGTCCACCCAGCCCAGCCCAGCCCTGCCACCCACTGCACCTCACCGCTCCCCAGGGCTCAGAGCCAGCTCCTCGCCCCGCAGCTCAGCCTGCAGCTCCCGCACCCGCTGCTCCTTGCTGCTCACTGCCTCCCTGCTGGCCAACAGCTCTTCCTCGATGGATGTCAGGCTGCAAGGACATGGGTGCTGAGCCATGTGCCTGCCACCCCCACTGCCCGTAGCCCAGCCACACTCACGAGTGCTGTACACTCTCAATGGTCAGCTCATTCAGCTGCAGCTCCCCTGGCTCCAGGCTCTCTGTCTCCTCCAGCAAGCTCTCATCAAAGGCCACTGCCGGCGGTACCTCAGAGTCATACCTGCAGGACCCGGTGCAGCCCTGATGTTACTCTGCTGCATCCACCCAGTGACATTGTGCTGCACCTTGCTCACAGCCATGCCGCTGTACCTGTGGCACTGAACAAAGCTGTTGTACTCAGTGGTGGGGTCGATCATCTCGATGGCGTGGGCAACCTCCTGGTGGATGGCCAGCACGTCCTCCTGCACCAGGCTGCTGATGCTATAGTACTCCCCAAGAATCTCCTTCCTGCAGGGATGCATATGCTGGGAGATGCCACCCTCCTGAGCCCTATGGCCCCCCAGTGCCTAGGATGGCTGCTCCTGGGGTGCACACAGCCCCAGCCACATAGCTCTGACCCCATCTGTGATGGCTTCGGTGCCAGGGAAAGGGCGTGCATGGGGCAGGCAATGGGGCGAGGACAGCGCTTGAGGCCGGGAGGGAGAGGAAACATCTCCAGTTCTTGAGGGCAAAAAGGGTGCAGGAAGAGAGGGATTGCTGGGGTGCAGCAGCAGGGAGCAGGGCTCTTACAGAACAAGGGCCATCTCCTGCTGCAGGCTGTAGAGGGACTCGTGCAGGGTGGGCAGCGCACGCTGGTAGTGGTGCTGGTGGTGCAACGTGGCCGCCTGTACAGCCAGCACATACTGGTTGTGCATGGCATAGAGCTTCCAGAGGCTGCGCACGTACTTCTCCTTCGCCTTTTCCCGCTCCTTGTCTGCAGGGAGATACCGTGGGAGACACCCACCCCCCAGCACTCCCGCTGCATCCCCAGGGCTGTGCCATGGGCCCCATAGGGCTGCGGAGGGTCTGGACGTACCCAACACGCTGGTGGGGCTCAAGGGGAGCTAGTAGGGGACACAGCAGGGCAAGGCAGGGGGTGCGCGGGGATGGGGCTGGCACCCACCTTTGCTGGCCTCCTGGTACTTGCGCCTGGCCTGGGTGCTGTCACGCACCAGGCTGCGGTACTGTGCCTTCAGCTTCTCCATTTCCTGCTGCGTGGTCTGCAGAGAAGGTACCATCAGCAGGGCTCGTTCAGGCTGAGGGTTGAGCACCCCCACTGCCCATAGGGCCCTACCCGGGCATACTCTTGGCTGAGCTGCTGCCACTGCTCACTAAAGGCCTTGCGAAGCTGCTGCTTGTCACGGATCAGCATGCTCAGCTTGGCCAGCGGCCCTGCTGCCAGCTTCTCTGCGTGTCGCCGCAGCGTCTGGCTCAGTGACTCCGTCTGGCTTGCCAGGATCCACCACGACTGCAGGACAAGGTGTCAGCACAGCGTGGGGATGGCCGTCCGCTTGTGCCGGGTCTGGGTCTGCACTGAATTGCCCCTACCTCCCCAATCTGGCTGCTGTGTTCAGTGGCATGGAACTGCCCCAGGCCCTCCTGTTTCTCCAGCTGAGAGAACATATGGTGCAGCATCCCCGCGTACTCCCGGTCGCTCTTGGCACGCTGTGACATCCACTTCTTCATCAGCTCCAGGAGGCGCAGCTCGCTGTCCTGCAGCTGCAGCAGTGCACTGTGCCCCTTCGGGCACCACAGCTCCGGCCCGAAGCCCATGGCACTGGTGGGATGGGGCTGCACAGCAGTTGGGCAGTCTGAGCCGTGGCTCCGAAGCCCCCATGGCAAAAGGGACAGGGCCCATTTGTCTCCCATGCCCCCCCATGTTCTCCCCACAGCTGCGCCCTGGCCAGCCCTGGGGCTGCATTGCTGGGGGCTGCCCTGCACAATCTGCCTTGCAAAACACATTCAAAGCATCTGGGAGGGCTGCATGCACCCAGTGTGGAATGTGGGCTGCCACAGGGACAGTGCCAGGGAGAAGGAAGCAAGGAAGCATGGGGTCAAAAACCTGCATCATTCTGCCATGTGACCAAGGGCAGTGGCATGGTGCCCCCACCATGGCCAGGAGCCCTGGCCCCACGCGGCTCTGGCAGCTCTGGCCCCATCCTGCCCCAGCGCCGGGTCACCCCTGTGCCTATGTCAGGCAGTGAGGGGAACAGGGCGCCGAGCCCTGGGGGAAAGTGCCAAGCCTGGAGGTGTTCCTGAACATGGCCCTGGGGTGCCCAGCCATGCAGCAGTGGAGCAGCCAGCAGCAGGAGGGTGCTGCAGCCCAGTTCCATGCAGGACAAGATGCCCAGCGCAGACCACAACCCAAGAGAGGAACGGGGCAGTAACCCCCCCCAGCCCTACAGAGGAGTCCCCCATCCCGTCAGCATGTTGCTGGGCACGGTGCCCCCAACCTGCGTGTGCTGCCAGGTCCCCGCTGCAGCGCTGGTGCTGGTGTGTTCCTGGAGCTGGGGCCGGTGCAACTGACCTGACGCAGCTCCGGCACCCAGAGAGGAACAGGAAACCCTGCACTGACCATACAGCCATTGCGAGATTTCCTGCGCTTCCTCCCCTCCCTGCCAGTCTGACATATTCGGGGCCAACTGTGTCACGCAACCTCGCTGCGGCTGTCAGCCCCCAGCCCCACTGCCTCTGCTAACAGTCATGCACCAAGGCCTTTCTCTGCAGGATTTGGCCCTGCAGGACCCCAGGGATCTTTTTTGGCTGGGTAAGGCTGCAGTGCACTGCCCTTGTGGACCCTGTCCTCAGTCCAGGCCCCTCAGGGGTTTGACCCAGAAAGCCTTTTCAGCCATCCCTGTGCCTGCAGCCGCTCTCCCTGTCCCTGCTTCAGGGGCTGGTGAGGCACCCAGGGCTCTGTGCAGCACTATGGAAGGGGACCATTCTAACACCACCCCTCGAGCGTGGCCCTCAGACACAGCAGCTCGTGCATGGGCATTCATGGAGCTGTGCCTCAGCACACTGTGATGCGCCCAGGGTGCCTGCAGCCTTGGGCAGACTGCAAAGCTTCACCCCTCAGCACTGCTGCATGTGCTCCAGCTGCAGCTTAGCCCAGCAGTCTCATTTGGAACCCCCTCCTCTGCCAAGCAGTGCCTTCTGGCCCCAAGGTGATACTGTGGTCACCTGCAAGATACATATAAGTTGTTTCTGCTTCGTAAGGAAGTTCCTGATTTGCCTTCCCATGGTTGTGCAATGCCTTGGTGATCACAACCAAGGAAGACAAAAACGTTACAATGCATCAAGCTCAGCAGTGAGCAGCACAGCATGGCACAGCACAGCATGGTGTGCCATGCTGTTGGAGCTCCTGGGCACTGTTGGTTCTGGTCACTCTGGACACAGCCTTTCTCACAGCACATTTCAGGGTCAGAGCAGAAGCACTTCAGCTGCTCTGTGCAGTGGCACACGCTGACCTACCTCCAGCCACCGCTGCCTGACCCCAAAGCCCATCCTGGAATAGTTTTATTTTCTGAGCTGCTGGTTGTACAGCAGTGTCCACGTGCACAACTTGCTCCTTGGACATCTGCAGCATCTGCTCACATTCAGTGAGTGCTGTGCTAAGCTCACAACTTATCCCAGCCCAGCGTTACCTGGCTTCTCCTGCGCGGAGCAGGCTGTCCCTGCTGGCATGGGGCTGGCACTGGGCACTGAGCTCCACAGGGCTGGGATCTGACTGTGCCATGTCTGTGAGGACAGCTGAGCTGCAGGGCCCTATCCGTGACCATGATTGCAGGCAGCCCCGCTCTCCAGCAGCCCTGACCACTGCCTGCAGCAGGAAGGTCACTGCGGGCTGCGTTGCATCTCACTCAGTTTCACATCCTTCATCCCCTCTTTCACAGCAGAGCTTGGTGCTGCTCTGCTGCATGGGGCAGCACAGGCACTGCACAGCCAATGGCTGCATCCCACCTGCAGTGCCCGCTTTCTCCTGCCTGGAGCCACCAGCTCAGTCCTCTGCAGCCTTTGTAGATGACAGCAGGTGCGTGGCTGCAGCACAGCTCCAGGCAGGAGAGAGAGGACAGAGTCATGGCAGCAGCTCCTGCAGCCCTGTGCACACAACAGAGAACTGCTCACGACCACAGGAAGATGCTGTGGCCAGGACTGCATGAGGGGCTCTGCAGAGGAGCTGCCTCCATGCAAGCATGTGAGGGATGCAGCTCAGGGCTTGTCCTGGGACCAAGGGCACAGTGAGGTTGGGTCTGGCTCTGCCTGCAGCACGCAGCCCATCCATAGTGGGAGCAGGGCTGGGGACACCCCAGGCTGCCCATGGGCATCGTGCTGCAGCTGAAGGGGCTGCACTGGGCACGTTGTTGCAGCGTGAGCTCTGCAGCCTGCTGCCCCACCTCGCTGCAGCCAAAATTAGCTCCCCTCACCACGGGTTTATGATCGGCAGCTGCTTCCCATCACTCAGGTGAGTGGGATGACTGCTGCCTGAGTGCCAGCACACCTTCAGCCCCCAGCTTGGGGGGGGGGGGGTGTCTCAGCCCTGCCCAGGACCCCCCACAACCTCGGGGCAGCAGGACACAGAGCACAGGCAGCGGAGCTGGTTTGCATAGTTCTGAACATTTAATAACTCAGTCTCTCTAGCGTTATATCCACATCCATTAAATTAAAAACAGGCTCAGGAGGCAGCTCCCGGCTGATTAAATTACAAGAAAAAATTACTGTGCACCAAAAAGTTATTATAGAAAAATAGTCCTGTGGCCCCCCGCCAGCAGCTCCGTCCATGGGCCAGGGTTGGCATGGGGCAGGCAGGAGCCTGTGCCACGGCCCCGGTGTGCAGCAGTGGTGGACGGCAAAGGGGCGGGCGGCACCGACCCCCACCATGCAGGGAATGGGCTGAGGATGGGGGGGTGCCCAGGGTTCTGGGGGGGAACAGAACGGATTGTCACCAAGTGGGGGAAAGGCACATCGGGGCCGGGGCAGTGGGGCCGGGGCTGCCAGCACAGCAGGTTCTGCCCGGCCCTGTCAGGGCGCAGTCAGAGCCGGGTGCAGTGGGCATCAGCGTTGCCCAACAGACCGAGCAGCCCCACAGCCCTGCCTGGGGCAGAACAGGGGCTGCTGCTGAGCGGGGGACCCTCTCTGCACTGAGGGTACAGCCTTGGGCACAGGGGAAGGCATTGCCATGCCCACACCCTCCATCGCTGGGCTCCGATCTGCGCTTCAGCTGGCTGTGGTCGGACAGGCAGCAGTGGGCAAGGAGGTAGGGGGCTGAGGCCTGGCCATTATTGCTGTTGAAGGGCGCGGGTGGAGGCAGTCAGGCCCTGGGGAGGTGGTGGGGAGCCTCAGGCAGCCCAGTCAGGGCAACACCAACAAGGGCGCCCAGCCCCCATCCCCGCAGCCACGTGTGGCCCCCAGCAACCGCCGGCCCAGGGTAAGGAACATGGCTGCCAGCACAGAAGGCAGCGTCAGGGTCTGGCCACACACCAGCACAGGGCACAGCATGGACACAAGGCTGTGAGAGATGGTCTGGGACGGGGACAGTGCAGGGCTGAGGACGGTTCCAGCGGTGGGGAGCCCAGAATGCCGCGGAGGGGGACGGGGGCAGAGTCCAGGCCCCTCGGCCTCGCCTGCCCTGGCCCCATGGTGCCGGGAGGAGAAGGGAGGGGCAGAGGGCTCATCAAAGGGCACTTTGGTCTCTGATGAAGGCAGTCCTCTCGTTGTGCACTTCGCACTCCTCAATGTCCGACTCGGAAGGGCCCTCCTCCTGCCAGATGTCGGAGGGCAGCCCCTTGTAGGAGATGATGCCGCTGTCCAGGGCGTAGACCTTCACGCCCCGCAGGCTGAACCCGGAGCGCACTTGCAGCACCAGGAAGACAGTGATGAAGATGACAACGATGAGAACGCAGCTGAGGCTGGCAATGAGGACGAGTGGGTTGGCTGGAGGGGGGGCCTCAGGCTGCCCCTCACCCTCCACCAGGGCGGGGGATGCACGGCTGCTCTGTGTCTGGTGGGAGCAGGAGAGGTCCAAGCTGCTGAAGTGGGAGTGCGCGGGGCAGGTCAGGCACTGATTGGGGCCGGGCCCCGTGCAGGTGGCGCAGGAGGGGTGGCAGGGCAGGCAGAGCTGGGGTGTGATGGGCTCCATGCTGTTCTCCAGGTTGTAGTGTGTGCTCTGCACGCCAGGTGCGAAGCCAGGGGGGCAGCGCTTCAGGCAGCTCTTCTGGTGTAGGTAGTATCCCTCTTCACAGACTGAAGAAGAGAAAGGTCAGCACAGAGGGGGTCATCCGCACACCCATACCCACACAGGACCCTGCACTCACCCACGCAGGTCTGGCTGGGGGTCAGGGTCTTGCAACCACTGCTCTCCAGCTGGTTGGAGAGTCCAGGGGGGTCAGTGGCCGTCCCATACAGCACCAGCGTGAACTTGGTCAGCGTGCCTGGAACAACATGGCGTGAGCAGCAGCAGTGCACCCATGGACCTCATACAGAAAGGGCGGGCACCAACACCACCAGGGGCAGCACAAGGGCCACGGGGACACCTCCATGAACAAGCACAGATGGGATGCGAGGGACAGGCCACCTCAGAGCCCCCCCAACCAAAGCAGCTCTGTCTCCTCCCCAGCCCGGTCACTGAACAGCACCAGGTGCCAGCAGGGTGCAGGCACTGCTCCCATTGCTGTACCCTACCGTAGTTGTTGGCATCACTAGTGTTCTCAATCTCCAGCAGCCACTCCCCGGAAGGATCCTCGTCCCACGAGTGCGTCGTCATGAAGGCCCAGTCATTGAAGCCATCAGCCGAGTAGTCATGGGGCCTGGGGAGAGAGGAGATGGTGCGGGTGATACAGCTGGGCACCTGCTGCCAGCTGCCATCCCACTGCCCAGGCACCGACCTGGCAGCCAGGAGGGTAGAGCGGGTGCCCATGGGGCTGACGAGGTGGATGGCCAGGTCCCCCCGCCGGTTGTAGGACAGCGTCAGCCGGGCCTGTGCGTGCTCCAGCCGGCTGATGTAGTTGGCCTTCCCTAAGCAGGCGTCAACTTTCCGTCGAACCTCCAAGCGCTTCCCGATGTCCCTGCCAAGGAACAGAGTGACCCAGTGCCCCCAGTGAGGCTGTGGCAGTGTGCAGGGCTTCACGTGCCCCTAGGAGCTCACAGCTGCTCTCCAGCTCCACACCAAGTGGTGGAGCTGGAGATAATCGAGGCAGCTGACAGTCTCTCTCCACCGCTAGGATGGGGCAGGAAGCAGCAATCAAGCAGCACATCCCAACTCCCAGGAAACCAGGAGCAAGGAGGGTTCTGCTCTGCTGAGCACGCGTTAAATCGCACTCTGTGCCAGCTGTGAATGGGGCCTTTCTTCAGCAGCCAGGGGCAGCTCCACCCCCGTGCAGCGCGGCCAGGGATGGACAGGCACGGCCCGCCATGGCCCGCAGCTTGCCAGCCCCGCTGCTGGCACGGGATGCGGCCACACGGAGCGGGGGTGGGCAGGGAAGGGGCTGGCGCCTGCCCACAGGGCCCAGACCCAGGGGAACAGGGCAGGGCAGCAGCAGAGACAGGGCCATGCCTCCCCCAGC